ACCACTGACATCTGTATTGCTGAGTGAGATGGGGAGGAGCTTCTTTATATTAGTCTTAATTCTTTCCTTTTTTTTTTTGTTGATGTGTGGTTTCTTTGAGCTCATTCTCTCCTGTTGTGTCCCTTCTTGGGAAGGGTTGGGGGGGGAATGGGAGAAGCTTTAGTCTATAGTGCTTTTTCCTGAACTGTGTGAAAGTTTTTTTTAGTTTTTTTTCTCCACCCTGAACTGTGTAAAAAGTCCTGCAGATAGAGGAAAACAATGCATGGCATGATCTAATCTTATTATGGATTTAAGGTGTCATGGAATTGGTAGACTCGCATCACTGTCGCTGAGGAAGCAAAGATTCCTAGAAGGTCTTTGGGTCACTGAAAGGATGTACTTGGACTAAACTGCCATGTTCAGAGAAAGAAAGGAAAATTAGAGTGAGCTGATGTGACCCAGAATAATTTTTCCATTAAGAGGGAAAAAGCAATAAAGCTTGTTTGGTTCAACTGCCTTCAAAACCCTAGAGACAGGACAAAGGTAAACCCAGCACAGTTAAAGTAGCAGCTAGCATGTAATTCAGTTGAAGCTGAATTTTTAATTCTGAATTTCTTCTGTGTTGGTTTCTAGTAATTAAATCTTGTGCTACCTCAGTGAGAGTGCTGGGCACTAGATACATCTGCTTCCTTTGTCAGCCAGGCACTGTTGTTATTTCTTTACAGCTATTTAAAAACAATGGATGTAACATCTTGGAAGCTGGCTCACTTAATGTACACAATATAGCTTTGTTTTTGTCTCTTCCTTATGGGGAGTTCATTCTGTCTACCCAAACAGCTTTCTGCTACATGCTGCCTAGTTAGTGAGCATCTGGTATTCCTCTTTTTAGTTAAAGGTCCTTAGAATTGTTTGTTTTTTCACCACTTTTAAATGTTGATACAGTACAGAAAAGAGAGTTCTTGTTAGGCCTCTGCATGCACTCAGGCATTTGCTTCTGGAACCCACTCATAATCTTGACTGTTTCATTAAGGAAGAGGTTCTCATAATTACCTAAGTATGTTAGTGCTGCTGTATTTCTGCAGTCTTCTGCCTCTGACCATGTGCTCCTCTTCCTCCTCGTGCTGATACTTGGCTGTGTCTTATCTGATAGTGAGAGTGTGTATGTTGGGTGTCTATTGCTGAGGTTAATTTTCTTTTAGTTTAGCTTCTTGAATCAGCTTGCTACATGAGGATATGAGAACAACTACCGATGCAAAAGTTGGAGCAGAAAGTACATGTGGCAGGAGGTGGGCTTACAGCAGTTACCAGTTTAGCTTAGCCTAACTTCTAGTAAGACTGCACCCTGAGATGTTTCAAAGGAGGTTTTTTTTAAGGTGTAGTTAGTAACATTGGTTCTTAACACTAATGGTTTGGATAACTGATAACCTGTCTTGCAAGTGGAAGTTCTAAATTTACTTGGAATGTTACTGCTGATGAAGAGAAGACCATACTGGAAGTCCCATAACTGACAGTGTCAGCAGTGTCACCAGCCATGTTGCAATCCTAAAGTAAAACATGCAATTAAACATTGATGTTAAAACCTCTATTATAACTAAATTAAAAATGCCCATCTCTTCTTTTGGATTTTCCCCAAATGCAGAGCCTGCTACAGATGTTGATATGACTCCCTTCACAGCAGTCATTCTGGTTTAATTAAATAGCAGCACTTGCTGACAAGAATCTTTATTCTGTAGGCACATGAGAATACAGCAGAAACAAGAACTTTACATAGCAAAGGTCATGGTAAGGAGTTTGTCAGAAAGTTCCTGAGCGAGTCAAGCTGTTTTTCTGTGCTTTTTGTCACGTTTGCAAATTTCCTTAGGGGATAAGAGGACTGCCTCTGCTCATCCACTGTGGTGTTGGCATTGTTCACTGCTTAATGTGGAGCTAGAGTATCTTATCTACTCCCTGCTTCAAGCATAAGTTTTGGGGAACTGCAACGGGACTGAAGTATTTTGGGTGAAACATGAATAATCTCATCACTGGTAGAGACTAGAATTTGAGGTTGTTTGTCAGGCACTGACAGTTTTTGTGTCCAGAAGTTCCTGAATTTGTTCAAGTTCAGAGGTCTCAGTAAAGTGGATTTTCTTCCAGTACAGTCCAGGAGAAGATCAAACCATCTGAAAAGATGTAAGCAATCTGAATGTCAGAAATTCTTTCTAATGTGCATAATGAAACATGTTTAAGTTTTCTTGGCCACTTGCTAGTCTTTTCCACTCCTTTCTCATCCCTTTCTCTGCCACCAGTTTCTATAATAAATTTTAGGTAGAGTTATGAACACCAAGTTTTTCCTTTTATAACCTCTGCTATTACTGTCTTGTTGCCAGATACCTTGAAAATTAGCCAGAAACTCAATTGTTTGATGGCTGTGTTCACTTGTTTTGAGACCTGCTTGTTTTTATGCACAGAGTTCTTATATTTAGGCTTTGGAACATTTGAATTTTGCAAATTGTTGAAGCCCAGAGATGGTTCCTGTGCACTGTTTCAGGCATCCTTGCTATGTTATATAATAAAGAAAATTTTCTATTTCACTTGCTAAAAGCATTAAATACTGCTTTACTTGGATAGCACTATCAATAAGTAGTTTATATCAACCTGTAGCAAAACATTTCTGGGGCCTTCGAAAAAGCAGGTGACTGGAAGTAGTCAGCATGGCTCTACTAAGGGTCAGTCATGCTTGACCAACCTGACTGACTTCTTGTCAAATGACCAGGTCTTCAGCTGAGGGGAGAGCAGTGGATTTTTTTTATTTTGACCTTAGCAAGGCTTTTTACAGTGTCCCACAGCATACTCCTATTTACAGGCTGAATGGGAGGATGACTAGACAAGTGAAAACTGGTTGAAGAGTCATCTCAAAGGGTGGCTGATGGTTCATACTCTGCCTGGACAGCAGTTACAACTGGAGCTCCTCAAGGGTCTGCTGTGAGCTACTCTGTCTTTTTTTTAATGTTTTTATCAGTGACCTGGAGGAGGAGGTGGAATGCACCTTCATCAGGTATGTGGTAGACACAGAACTGGGTGGCTCAAAGGCAGGGCGGCCATCCCGAAGTACTTGGAAAGGCTAGAGGAGTGGGCCCGTAGGAATCTTACAAAGTTCAACAAGGGCACATGCCAAGTCCTGCTTCCAGGATCGGTAACCCTCCTGCAGTGCTACAGACTGGTTGGATTGTAGCTTTGCTGAGAAGGACCTGGTTCTGGTGAACAGTAGGCTGAATACAAGTGAGCAGTTCACCCTGGTAGTGATGAAAACAAACAGCTTTTTTCCCCTTTAGTTGGCATTTGTTCCAGATGTTCCCAGGCTGCATTTGTAATACTGTGGCCCGTTTTGCTCCTGTTTTCCCTACCCCCAACAAGAACAACGTTGATGAACTTGGGGCAAGTCCACCAAGATGGTCAGGGAGCTGGAGTATGTGACCTGTGAGGGCATGCTGAGAGCCTTTCGTGGCCTTGTTTACCCTGGAGAAGAGATGCTTAGGAAGGACCCAATAGCAACCATCTGGTATATACAAGGATGGATACTGAGAAGATGGAGCCAGTCTCTTTACTGAGATGCACAGTGGGAAAACAAGAGACAATGGTCATAAATTGAAATGGGTGGTTATGTTGGAAAAATTTTTACTGTAAGGATAATTAAGAGGTTATAGGAGGTAACCTGTAAGCCTCTGTGGAGGTTTTCAAGACCTGAGTAGATAAAGCCCTAAGCAACTGGGACTGAGTTGAACTGTATGACCTCATAGGTCCCCTCCACTCTGAATTATTCTTTGAAGAATCGCCCACGGCAGGGACCTAAGTAGCCAAAATAATCAATACATTTTGTTTTATTTGGAAACTTTGTTCCTTGTGCGAGTGGCATTTATTTCTAGTGCTGCTAAATAAAATAGCTTGAACGTAATAATGTACTCTTGTTGAGTATTTTTGATAGTAAGCATTAGTTACTTGAAATCTACCTATTGAATAAGCAAGATACATTAATTGAATAAGCTCATTTCACCTAAGAAAGGCAAAATATTCTTTCTCAGTGTTGAAAAAAGTTTTAGAACTTTATAGTGATCAATATGTCTTGTCTCTCACTTGCCTTCACCCATTATTCTGAACCTTGTAGTAAAACAAAGCAATTTGTAGAGCATTTGTTGTTTGAATTTACTGGGAGGAAAGAAAGATACTGGAAAAGGGAACTAAATCTCGGTTTCTCTGAGATGAGTTCACTTCCTTCTTTGCCCAGGCCTATGAAAAGAAGCTGTTATCCTGGATGCTACATGTAGACATCTCTAAAACGGAGAAGGCTTTAGTCAGATTCATGCTGCAGAAGTTACATACTGGTATATCTAGGCATGGTGGATTTAACTGTGATAGCCCTTCTCACGCGTTTGTGAGAAAAGCAACTCGTAACCATGATAATTTTTGCTTATTAGTCAGGTGTCTTTCTGCTTTTGCTTTTAAAGAAATCTATAGTGGCTAGTAACAGGCTTCTTTGTCATGGTTTCTGTGCTTTAGAATAAGTTTGAATCTCAACTTTTAGTCTCTTTTCCTTTGAGTCCAGAATCTGGGTATATTCTTGTAAACGATTGCATTAGCGTGCCAGACTTTTCCATCCTCTCTCCACTTACTTATGCGTATGCACGCATGTTTATATGCAGGCTCGCTCTCTGTCACGTGGTTGTACGTATTCCTGGTTTGGAAATGGATTTGCTTACACCTCTGTGAAGGTGGTACGTATTGACAGTGGGAGTTTTTTTAGCAAGTAGTGGCCATTGAATGGTGTAGCTTAGATCACTTCATACTTTCATCTCCAACAAGTGAAAGGCATTCACGTGATCTCTTGCTGCATTACCTTAGACAAGTAGGAACTTCTTTACTAACTTGGCTGCTTCCAGTGGTTCATGTATTTTATTAGTTCCAGTCTAGAAGTTGCTATTAAGCAGTTCTTGAGCTATAGATTTTATTGAATGTCATGTTGAACGAGGAGAGAAATTGGTCAATTCTTCCATCTTACTACTTTCAGACTCACAGGCTCTTCTGCTTTATTCACCCCCTAATATACAAGGAAGAGTCTCTAAAGTGAATCTTTATCAGAAGGAAAAAGATCTGGAAGAAATTTGACTTTTGTACTACGTTCAAGGTAAGACTTTCAAAATTGTCCAAGATCAGATGACAAAAAGCATGAATACTGAGGCTTGCAAAATGGTACTATTTCTGAGGTCTTGGCTTCTTGCATATTATACTATTCCTACAGAATATTATGAATATTTATCAAGTATTAAATACTTCTGCATAATTATGTGGAAATACGCTAATGATCAGAGGCATATAAGCTAGCTGTGGCTGTGTTCCTTAACTAAAACAATTAAGTAGGTTGCTACATGTAACTAATGTTTAACTATGCAAAGCTGTCTTCTGGGTAGCATAGGTGTTCCCACTTCTAAAACTGATACACTAAGCTGCATGATATAAAATGGAATGTCTCACTAAATTGGCAGTGTCTTAGTAACTCTTTCTGGCTTACTTTAAGGTACTGTGCTGAGCTTGTAATTTCTCTATGAATGCAATATTATAGCTCTTGAGTGACATTTCCAGTTAATTTCAAAATATCAGGAACTAATTACGAGTTAGAGGGCAGGTTTTCTGCATTTTGGAAGGAATGGTAGATGTATTTCTTTCAATAAAGCCATAGCTTCAAGCAGCTATACAGTTGTCATCTGTCTGCAAGTTCAGTCAAGTGGTAGGAGCCATTGACATCGTTCAGCAGAGTGATACCATTGCCTTCAGCTTCCATGCACAGTTTAACAACATGTTTAATAATGTTTGTGTTGTTCCCACACCACCCCCAGGGAAGAGTGGAGGATATAACAAGGACCAGGGGGATAAAGCCTGTAGCAAAGTGGAATTCCCTCCAGTGGGACCAGTCTTGGGGGGAATGTTGATGGACTGTCCTGTTGACTGGGCTAGCATTGTGTTCATGGCACTCAAAGAGAGGAACTGAAAAAGTGGTTCAGAAGAATGGAGAGGCACATAGCTATCCCTTGCAGAGACGGTAGTTCGTGTAAGAAGGGGAATACAAGGCCATAGCATCCAGCCATAGAACGGATGGTGGAGACATTCACGTGGAGTCACTCAGAAGGATGTAGGAGATGTTTTGGGGACTGGAAGGTACAAGTAGCACTTAATGTAGGCAGCTGGTTGCCTAATGCTAGCTCTTCAATTTTGGGGGGGTGGAGACCTGCTGAAATTGGCACTCATTGTGCTGAATTCAGCACCTATTTGAAGGCTCAGATCAGCAGTCTTCTATTCATGTACCTATTTCTAATTTGTTGTGACTGTGTGGTTCTGTTTTTTTATATAGTGGGAATTATCTGTGTAATCCCCAAGCTGAATGTCTACTTTTCTTTTTAAACTGCTAAATTCATCAGATTCTTTCAGTTGTCGTTCTGCAAAAGCCTGAATACTTGAGTATTCCTTTGTGAGCCTTGATATTATTTTTTTTTATGGATTCCTAGTTTAATCCAGGCAGTTTGTTAAACTTAGTATAGAATACATGCAGGTTAAGCTTTACATGTAGTAAAGTGGTAAGACTGAGATGCGAGCTTTGGAAAATATAAATCATTTTAAAATATCTTGACATGTTGTCTCTATAAATGGCATGACAGGGTAGGGTGTCTGTCCCCTTGCTACAATTAATGTGTTCTTTTATGCGTCTTTGTGCTAAGATGTTCCCATCACCATTCAGTCCAGCAAGGGCATGTCTTGCAGCCAAGAGTGTACAGGAGCAGTAACCTTTGGTGGAGCTGGAGATGGTGTCTTAAGCTGTGTTATCCAAATTTGCCTGCAGCTGATGTCTGACCTGATGAATAGCATAAAATGAATGTTGAATTATTAACATGCTTGCTTCCCGGAATCCTTTTTGCTGTCAAGTCCATGTAGACCTATCATTACTGCATTGACTGTCTGTAATGCCCTTAAGCACCCTCTCTAATATTGATTTCTTGAAAACTGGCACGGTCTTCTTGCATGTTAGTTTTAACGTTCTTATTGATAAAATTGCCCTTTGAATTTTTGCAGGTATAGTTCAACACATATTGTGATACTTGCATAGTGGCGAAATTTAAAACAGTTTTTACTCAATAGATATATTTGAAACTTCAGCATTGAAATATATATTGTAAATCAAGAGAGTTTAAACTGTATTGATTAAAAGTGAGTCAAACTAATTTATTGTGAAACTGAAGTTGCAGTATTAATTGGACAAAACTTTGAGTATTTAAGCTTGAAAGTTGCCAAATGGCTGCTTCTTGCCAAGTACTCCTCTGTTTAGATGACAAGTGAAGCAGTTCAGATAGCCTCAATGCAGACACCTGAAAAAGATTCCATGTGTCCAGGCAACGATACTGGAGACTGCTGCCAGAAAAAAAGGTAACGGAAATTTGCTTCACTCTGCAGTTCCTAGAGATAGTAATTTTTTTAATTAGACTTCAGACTTTTTCTTTAAAAGTTTCTCTAGCCTGATAGAAAAGTAGAGCATGCTATAAAACTGCAGGGGGGAATACTGTGTCCTCTGAAGTAGTCTGACAAGCCATCTGTGATCTAAAACCTAACTTTCTATAACAAACTGTGGCTTGAATAGTATGTATCATGTGATTACAGGTATATTGATCCTGTTACAGTATGGCAGTATGTCATTATGTATCATGTAGGATCAGCTGCTTCTCTTAAGCATTTGTTTATAACTGCCTTAAAATGCTTTGAGATGTGCCTTATTTGAAATGAACCAAATCAGTTCAACTGGGTTGATTTAGGAAGCAGATAAATCTGTGTTAGCAATAAGGGAGCAACTTTCTAAGCAAATAGACCCTCTTAGAAATCTTAAGATGTCTTTATATTTCTAAGTGCTGATTCTCTTCATACTAATACAGTATGGTTACTGAAGTAACTTTGCTAATAGGCAGAAAAAATTTCTTAACATGGAAGAGACTAAGGAAAAAAAAGGTGTTCTAAAACTGTAATTGAGGTCTAAAAATAACTATGTATTTTAACAATTCCTATTTGGAGGCTTCAGTTCCTGTGTTATTTAAATTAGTTCTTTTGGAAGATTGTGTGTGTGTAGGCTGTTAGTTGATGTAACAGATGCTTGAATTATCTTTTTCCAAGTTGTGTGCTTTGCAGTAAACATTAAAATGCCTATAACATAGTCAGTGTTAATATTTGGCAGCTTGTAGTGCTGATGTTCTTATATTACTGATTTGAATCTGCTGGTGATTTTATTATGGTGTTGAATGACTTTTTTTGCATTTAATTTAACTCCTTTTGTATATAAACCTAGCAAGTGGTAACATGGCTAAAAAAGCCACAAATAGATCCAAGCGGTTAAGTAGTGTGGCAGAGAATTTATGCCTCCTGTAACTGTCTGCACAGGTACATCAGCAATGTCCAAGTTTATCTGCTGTGATGGCTCAGTTTTAGTTCATTTGTAACTGAAGACTTGCCCTTAGAAGATGAGGGAAGAATAAGAACCTTACTTGCATTCTTGGAAAGAGGGAAAGTCCTTCCCCTAATAATCAGTATCATATATAAAGAAATAAAAACCTACTCTTTCTATCCCTTATAAACTTGATAAAACTTGATTTCTGTCGTTGTCAAACATATCAACATTAGGGAATTCTTACTGTATTTTCTGTACCTGGTGCTAACTGAAATACTGTAATTTTGATCTTTTTGCTCGTTTTTCACTCCACTTTGTGGAGTTTAAATTCCTTCTAAATTTTGGATATACTCATGGTCCCAGTTAGGGTTGTGTGTATTATACATGTTAGGGAAAAATGTGATTAGTTGACATGCATATATTTTAATGGCTTAATTCCCCTGATAGGCAAAATGGGATGCTATTGTGCCTTTGAGAAACCTGTGTGGAATATTTGCTCTAAATACCAGATCTGTACAGAAAGACATGTTGTAGAAACAGGGTTTAAGCTTTTCTCTGTCAGGAGCAGCAGAAATACAAGATGTGGTATCGAAGATAAAAAAAACCTCCTTATTGACTTCAATGGTAGTAGCAAGACTTCATTCAAAAGCTGACTTGTTCTAAATGAGTTGCTAGCCACTAGATGCTAGGGTGAGATTCTCCACCCAGATGCAAATTAACTTTTGAGAACTCTAGCTGTTAGCTGGCTTAAAAATCACTGAACACTGTTCAGAGAAGAATTAGTCAAGATAGCCTTCTGCAGAGAATCTGTTCTTCCCCTTTGTGAGCATTTCCTATGATAGACTCACAATGATACCAATCCTTTGAAAACTATGAAACTTCCTGACTATATCCTACAGCTAGAGCACCTTAAAATTTTGGAGCTCAGTCACCTTTGCTGTCTTAGCAATGAAAGTAGACAATTATGTCAGGTTTCTTACCTCTTTATCCTATCACGTTTTGAAGTCTGCAACAATGGAGTTTCTTTATTATCCAAATGCACGTACTTGCTACAGAATTAACCGATCTGAAATCTGTTGCTTTCTCTGATTTTCCTGACAACTGCTTCTGTGAGAGTTCTTCATGGTCTTACACTTAGGACGTTTTCTTGAAAGGCTTAGCAAGAAAGGGCTAAGCCCTCTTTACTGCATAATCAACAGAGGAAGTTTTTATTTGCAAGATTACTTCTGGATTTGAATAATACCGTAGTTTTCTAACACCTTGCTCTTTTCCTGGGGAAAGGAATGATAAACTCTGGATGCTCTTTAATACTGCTATAGTAGCTGGAGTGGATGAGAGTTCACTTCTGTGTGAAGTGAGGTGTGGTTTAGGGACATGCTGTTTTGGCCCAGAGGACTTCTGAGTAGATGTGCCCTGTAATGTTATCAGATGACAGGTGTGGTAGATTCTTTCTCAAACACTTAACCAGTGCTCAGGCTGTGATTTCTGCTTGTTTTAAGCAGGTGGCTATTTACAAAATCTAAGTAATCCACCTGGAGTGACTGTATTTTTTTAAACATTGTTTTGAAGGCCAGATGTTCAGAGGCAACAAATGGACAGATGGTTGCAAACTGACTCATTAGCTATTGCTACCTAGGTGTTCTAGCTAGTAAGATGAGAATAAATTTACCTTATGGGGGAAACACCGTAGGAATGTGCTCAAAAGATAGGCACTTCAGTAATAGTAAACATGAGCTTATGTTGCCCATGCAAATCACTCTGGTATGTCTGAGCTGGAATTTTCAATCCCCCCATCAGGAAGGTGGATGTTTGCAGACTCTGCCCTTTGCATTAAGAAAAAAGAAACACAAACCCATGTGGAATATGAACACACCTTCCTCAATCTGCAACTCCTGGATTGCTGTGGAAGGCATATCTAGAACTTTACTTACACTGTAGCCATAATGTAAGATATGATAAAAGCTAGTCAGACTTTTGCAAGCTCTTCTCTGGAAAGTCCTAGCAGCCCCAATAAACACGTTTGTTCAAAGTAAAGTTCTTTGCTTACAATCCTTCTTTGTAGTTTAATTGAGGTTGGGTTTTTTTTTTTTGCGAAAGAACACAACACATAAATGCAGTACATTTTAACTCTTGAAGATACTCTTTTCTCCTTAGTTCGGCTGAAAATCAGGTAACTGAAAATGAACAAGTTTTGTACTTGGATATTTTTACTGAAGCATGTTAGATGGCCTTTCTCTTCAGCATTCCTGAAACTGGATGTTTGAAAAGCTGTCCAGCATAACTGATAGATGATTCCATACTTCTGTGCTCAAGTTATGCTAAGCATAACTCTGATCTCTTACAGGAGAACAGAGGAGTAAGTGCTTGTCAGCGATCTCCCAGTAGGCAAATGTAGATTGCATACGTGCATTCTGAATTCTAGTAAGGCTGCCTTTTGGTATTCCTTCATCTTCTGCTTGTATAATTCAACAGAGTTTGAGTTACTCATCAGCTAGATGAGCAGTCTCTGCTTCAGGCATTCACTTGTACCAGCATAGCTATCTATGTGGCTGACCAACAGACATTAGCATGGAAACAGGAACCAGCTGCTGAGAGCAAATATTGCTTAAGCTACCAGTGCTGCCAAGACATCTACATAGCCATAATGCGAATTTACTGATCTAAAGCTTACCTAAAAGAGAATTACAGAGAACTTAGGAATTAAAGAGCTGCCTTACAAATATGTATTAAAGATAGGTCTGCAGGAAAAAAGTTCAGAATAGCTTTTGTAACTGCTTTCTAGATGTATCAAAAGGCAGCTTTCCAATGCTGTAGCTTAAGTCCACCATTTGTGAGGTAATATTTAAAAGTATGGACCTAATTAGAATGCTAAGCCCGTAGTATTATCAAGCTTTTAGACTAGTGTAAAATACTAGTCTAATAGTGTGTTCCTGCTGGAAATTCAGCCTTGAATAGTTCAAATGACTAACTTGCAATAAAAGCTTGAACTGCAAACTTCAAACTGCTGAACTAAATTTTCATCAGAACCCCGAGTAAATTTATTTCAAGGCATTTACCTTTTTAAGAAACCCTGGGTGTTACTTCTAAAATGCAGTGGAAAGATACCGTTGCACTTTTTACAAAACCGTAATACTAGATCAACTGTTTCAAAAAGGATAAAGCACCTAAATTACTTCATAGAGTTTTTAGTTTCGAACTTCGGTTCATTCTCTTCCCTTTCACTGTTGTAATAATGAACATTTTAATGCAGCTTCCACATTTGAAGAGGGGGGAAAAAACCCAACAAAAAACCCCACACCCACAAAAACACAAATAGAGGCTTTGCCTGGTCTTGGTTGATTCACAATGTTTTTGTGTAGAACCAAGAACCACTTAGCAAATGCAGAGAGAATCCATCATCCTTTTATTACAAAGGATGAACAACTTTCTCTTTAGGGTGAAAGTTGTACATTGTCTCAAGTAATTACACAGAAATTAACTCCTGTTTTAGTTTGGGCTTTGTCATATATGTAGACTAAGGAAGAACTACTGTGTGAACTTGCAGCACAACTAGTGCACTCCCTTGGTATGCTCTTATATTCCCGGAAAAATCAGGTAACCTAACGAATGCCTCTCTTGAGAGGGATGTTATCTTACGTTTACTGTGTGTTGGAAACATGCAATTCAGAGGTTGCAGTATACTAGCTAACCTGTGGTAAGCTTACACTATTGCTCTTTTCCTTCTCCCTCCTAGTATCTTTTACTTCTGCAAAATCTTTTACTATCTTCTGCGTGAACCGGTTTACAATTCTGGGGGATGATATTGGCAGTGGTGGTACTGTGATGTCATAAGGTCAATTATGACATACTAGATTATAGCTCTTTCTGTTGATGTTCAGGGAGTGGGTTGGTTGGTTTGTTTACTTGTTTTAAAGCAGCAATGATTTGGTTATCTGTAAAAGGTCAGAGGTGTAGCTGGTAGTGGAGCAGAATGAAATGAGTGTTTTTCTGGTGCTTCTTTGACCAGAGTCTGGAAACTTGCAAAGGACTGGATGTTGTAGTGGGTTTTGTTTGTTTTGAACGTTAGGATTCAGCTTGAGGATTATTAGTGCTTTGCCACTGGGGTTATTAAGTATGTATTTAATCATCAGGAAGACCAGCATTTGATGCCTACCCTTCTGTAAAATAACATAGTAGTGTTCTTCAAATTTCTCTAGACTGTGTAATTTTTTTCATGTGCTTACTATTGAAAATTGGGTTTAGTTCTTTAGCAGTGATTTACTTATGACGGCTTTGGCTGCATATAGTCTTTCCCTTCTGAAAAAAAAATACTGTAAACACGGTGAAATTCAAATTCTTTATTAGCCAAGGAATATTTAAGTTGTGCTCAAAAACTATTCTACTGTAAGGTACTGGTGTCTTAGTAGCAAAAATTATAGAAGTTTACTGAACTAACTTAGTCCTACTCAAATATTGAGTGTTTACATACCCCAAGACTTAAGGAGCCCAAATAAAATGCTTAATACATCTTGTAACTTCATTAAGCCTTTAATAGGAAGCATTCAGCTTTATTCTTGTGATGTAATTTATGATTAGCAATCTGGATAAAACAGTTTCATTTGTGTACGTGAGCATTTTCTACACACAAATTATTGGGGGCTGGATATAATAGCTTGTTATCCCAAAGCTGTATCATGAATCTAAGTATCTTTTCCTATGGGAAAAAAAAATGTGCAGCTTATTTGGAGAAGTAAGAGTCACTACTGTGCAGAAGTAAGTAGGAGTAATGTCCCCTCTTTGTGCAGTGTTCAGTGGTGGAGTGTATATCTTAAGATATTTTTGTGTTTTGAGACACTAAATACCTGCATTTCTTACTTCTGAGAATTAGTGTAGATAGAATTTGGATGGATGCGAGCATATTCTGAGGTAAGATGCTTTTAGCCCAAAATATCTACCTTTGAATCTGCCTGACTTTAAGCAACCTGTCGCTGGGCTGAAAGTCACCCTTGTCTAATGAATGCTCTCACATCGTCTGTAGAGTAGAAGAATTTGGGAGGGATCAAGCCTCTTGCTTCTTGGGAAGCATAGTGCTTTTCTTCCGGTCTGCTTTTGTGAGTCAGCCACTTCTAAAGGCTACTGGAGTAGCATCAGAAGAACTGAGGCTCTTGTGTGCTTCATCACGCAAGCACCCTGTGCCCTCATAGTTAAGGGGATCTTCTGAAGGTGGGAGATAGTGCTTGAAGAGAGTTGCGTTCTGGTCATGCATTCTGTATTCATGCCCTAGTCACTGGTGTATTTAAGAAGAGGGAATTAAACTGTTTTGTGTAACTTTGTGAGTCTGCGGTGCTTGTGTTTTTGTTTTTTTCCTGAAGTTCTTGGATGTGGAAACAACTTTTACTGATAAACTTTTTAACTTTTTTGGGAGGGCTATTGCCATGTAGTCCAATACAATGATTTAGGATACTTGCTGTCTAGTTCTTTCAAAATACTTTTTCAGAGTTCAGTAATGATTTAGTGGATGCTGTTTAAGGTGTGGTTTCACAATACTCTGAGCAAATCTGAATCAGCAGCAGCTGCTGGTTCTGCATTTCTGGCATTGGCACTTGTGTGATCCTGATTTCCTAAGCTGGTTCGGAGAGCTCAAGTGGCAGAAAATAATTGACTTTTTCTGGCTTGGTTTGATTCCTTGAACCATCTATCCTGTTGTGGTGCCTAAGAAGAGAGAATGTTGGGGAAAATACAGGGCTTGCAGCAGCGTAATGTTACAGGCATAAAACAAACTGAATCCCTACAATTCTTCTTCAAACAGTAGCAAAGTATTCCTTCTTTTGAGCAATTTCTTGCTTGTGATACTTTTTGGTAGTTGAAAAGCACTATTTAGTGTTTGGAAGAGGCAAGCCATAATGACATGTTGTCATAGCTCCATTCTTTGATCAGTGGGCTTAAAGTTAAGGTCTGCAGCATGTCCCCTTTATCACTCATTCAGCTCATCAGAGAGCTGTAATCAGTTTAAAATCACCAGTGTTACAATAAGGCTTGTATTTCCCTCATGCCCCAGAGAAAGCCGGCTGTTATCCAGAATTCTTCCTGCGATAGTTCCTTCTACCAGTGTACTGTCATGGTAACTTTTGTAAGATGCAGTGGTTTGTAAGATTAAATAAGTAGTCCCTGATCCATGAAGGAATTTGGGCATTTGCATCCTGTTCAAAACAATGGGTAGATGCCTTTGTAGATACACACATCTGAATTGTTAGTTATCTGCTACTTCTACATTTTAAGCTGAATTTATGGTTAATTTTCTAGAAACTACTTTTAAAGAAATGTAATGATTCTTATTTCAGAGCAGCTGAAATACTTTAGCAACTGAAGCTTATTGCTTTTGTTTTAAACTCTTGTGCGTTTTTTTACATCTAAGCAAGAAGAAGAAAGAGCTTACAAATTATACATGCTACACTTGGTGGGTTGAAGTCTTGTCAAACACTCAAGGAGTGTACTCTGTCATTTGAGCAGGTGAATAAAATTAAGCCAATAGCACTGTTAACCTTAGCAGGCATGCAAAAGCTATTCCTTCTGTTACTGAATTTAGGGACTTGAATGCCTGGTAATAGGCTAGATGACTTTTTAAGTGCTAGTCTGTGCCAGTGAAGGAAATAGGAAGAAAAATAAATCTGATTCTCTGTTAGCATTAATCTTTAATATGGTGTTTAGAGAGTGTACTGAAAGGTCTTTTGACATCCAGGCGTAGCTTTAGTTCAAGCACTTCTATTTAGGAAAAAGTTGTATTCATGAAAAAATTCATGTACAAATCTGTTGTAAACCATCTGGAGTAGCTAACTACTTTCTTTGTTTCTTTTTAGGAAATACCAAAATAAAGCAGATGTTGTGTCCTGTACTGTTATCTCAAGGTTTTGCAAGTCATTCTGTTATGTGCTTCTTGGCAGCAGGAATGTAAACTAATTCTTTCAGCACTGAACTAGAACCTTGACAAGGTTGCAATTACAGGTAAGAACAAATTCTGCCACTTGAAAATTTATGGGAAGGTATAATCGCTTTTACTTTGATTGTGTTTTAATTTGCAATTTATAATTAGCCAAGAATTTAACAGAAATTTCAGAACGGATTGGATAAAAGGATGTGGTTTTTCTTCTTTAAATCCATTTGAATTTTGCTTAATCTTATTTTTAATAGGGAGGAAATATACCTTAAAGTATAGCTTCTCTCTCCTATAGTACAAAGTAGTGTTAGTAAATGGAGGGGAAAAAAAGTAATTTTTCGACACCTAAATGTGTGCTGACTCAGATTTTGAGGAAGGTATTTTCTCACACAAAAGACTGTACAGTGTCAGTCAGTAAAAGTCATGAAGTGTTTTGCCACTGTGTGTTGAGATCAGCTTACTGTCTGTGTGTGGCTTTTTTCCCCTCAAGGTCTGTATTTCCTTAAATGTGCTAATAGCAGCAGTACTGCTTAAGTTACCTTTTTTAATCAGTTACAGAAAATCTCTAAATTTTTGTTACAAGTCCACTGTAGCTTCAACTCTTGAGTCACCTTTTCAAGGGTAAAGGTTGATGTCTTCCTCCAGGTCAGTGAAAATGTTTTGGCTGCTGGTTTTGTATCATAACTTTATCTGACAATGATGGAACTCTATATTAATTAAAAAAAAAAAACAACCCACACCACCACAAATACCTGTCATAGAGATTGTATTTTGGTTTTTGTATGTTTCTGAAAAAAAAAAAAAAACACCCCACCCCACCACAAATACCTGTCATAGAGATTGCATATTTTGGTTTGTATGTTTCTGAATAATTTATTTCTGTTTTTAAACAGGGAGTATGTGTTTTGAAGACTGTCCATGAAGTAGCTTTATTTTATATGCTGAATCTGCCAAATTATGATCAAGTTAAGGCCTTTCAGTCCTGATTTCACATTTTGGTATCTTTGACAGGAAGAGTTGCTTGCCTTAGGCTACATTTGTCAATAGTGGCAGGACAAGAGTCTGGACTGCTGGTATCAAGCAGTCTAATATGTCTTACTCTGAAGTTGGATGATGCATTAGGTCAATGACAGGTTTGTGCCAAGGAGGTGGCATTGATTGTTCTGCTGCTACAATGAAAGAAGGGTTCAAATGTGTTTGGGTTTTTTTTTGTTACCGTTGTCTTGATTGAATGTTTGTACTTAATTTGCAGTGATGTAATAGGTTGAAAAAAGGCACTTAACTCTTCTTATACTGTGCAAGTCATAGACTAATTTATGTTGGAATGGACCTCTGGCACTCATCTAGCCCAACCCTTGTGTCTGACTTACTCAGATTTGTGTGTGTGAATCAACGTCGCCCTCAATTACGTAAATAAATGGCTTAGTGTTTTACTGTGGTTCTGCAGACCTGCTGCAGAACACTTATTCTGGTCTTTCAGACCTGTTTAGGAACAATTTATTGATGATATGAATTGGTGATTCATTGCTGCACTATTCTCATAAAAATGCATCTGAAGCTTTTGGTAAACAAACATTGAAAAAGGTAAGAAAAGAAGTTGTCTTAAATTTCTAAATTTAGAATAAGGGACAACTCATTTTTAGTGACATACAGCTTCATGCTAATGAGTAAAAAAAATTGTTCAACTTTAATACCAATAGTGTATCGGCTAAACGTTGGCTCTCTTTCTTCAAAATCTTAGGTGCTATTTCTTTAATAAAAACCTGGCTGCTCGTGGTTAGATTGATTGAGAAGGAGCAAACTAAATTTAACTCTAAGTAGCTGATCTCGTATTGAATTTAGAGAACAAAAAAAATGATTCTGCATAGAAATAACTATAAACTCTATTACGGAAGAGTCATTGCTTTGTAGTATCCAAATGCCACACGTGCATCTGTTTTGAATAGCCTAGTCAATAAGCATGTTCTCACTTCTTTATTATAGGAAGTATGAGCAGATAGAGGCAAACAAAAGGAATTCCAGTTAATATCATGGGCTATAAATCTCGCCATAGTATGGTCAGTAGGGATAAACAAGAATACAGTGCCGTCTTCTGGGTAGTAAAATAAAGCCACACCTCATTGCAGAGTTTGAGTTAAGGACAAAATGTTACTTCAGGGATAGTAAGCCCAAACAGGTAATACCCAGTTTAACCAAGTAGGCCCATTTCACTCGGATGCCCGTGCACCAAACTCGTATTTCAAGAAAATGGTACAAGAGCATGAATATTGGCTTACGCAGAGCTATCTCGGCTCTTACAGACTTTAGCCTTCATTCTGTTCCCATGGAGGTGCTAGAAGCAATACTCTGTTTGCTTTGCACTGGCCCAATTTGTTGTACTTGGTGAACCAGCCTGGGTATTTATGTATCTTACACATCACTTTTTGTATGGTTAATCTGTAACTCGGATAAACTGTTTGCAGATAACAAAAGGGATTGAATTTCCCAGACTTCATAGTGTTTGGAGGAAATCCTGGTAAAGAAAACCTCAAGTTGTTACCTGGAAAACTAAGATGAGTGACATTAATGAAAAGATTGACTACAGCAGTGCATTTCTTAGTGAGAATGACACTGCATTACTCTTCTGCAGTAAGTCCCTAGCTGTGGTGCCAAAGTGAAGTAAGGGCTGCTTGCTGTCAGAAGTCACACTGGCAAACACAGAATTATGTATAGCTAACTAGGAAGAACACTGCATATTTTTTTTTTTTAAGCTTTCATTTGGCCATAAAACTCTATGAAGTTGATTTCTGCAACCTCTGTAAGGGTGAAGCTGTGCATGATAAAGGCTTGGTGACTGTAAAAATGCATCAACCTGGGCACTATTGTACTACATGCTGTGATTGCAAAGCTAGATTCAGAGTCCACTTTCAAGTTTTCTGTGAAGTTCATCCTGAATATCTGAGGTATGATCTCTAACTTTGCACCTACCAAACTGCATTCCAGAAAAATAAGAAGCAACAGCATAGAAGTGGGCAGCTCGTCCATGAGAGACAGATGGTTGCCATGTAAGCTGAGCTTGAAGATCTGCAGTTACCTAGCTTCATCCATGTTTTAATAAGGTGCAAGAAAGCAGAATATGAAACGAACCTCTGAAAAGACCACGAGCGTATATGTTTTTCTGGTGTTAACATAGCTAAAAAGGTTATAGCTCTTAACCTAGGTCCTGGTGCTCCTTTCTATTTTTTTTCCCACTGTCTTCCCCATTGAAGGTTACTGCCCCCTTGGATCTGCTGTCTAAGCTGCTGGCTTCTAAACCCACTACGGTCAAAGTCACAAAGTTTCAAAATACTAAAGCTAACTTTGCACCTCTTCAGTGAAAAGTTCAAAGAGTAAGGGCAAAAATGTCTTAGCCAGCAGTTCTGAAAGAAAAGAAATTGCTGGCACAAGGTAGTGGTGAGTAGCTGAGGCAGAGCAGAAGTGATAATGTTTTCAGGTATTGCTACTGACATTGAAAATAGATGTGAATCCACAGTGTTAAATTACACCTGTGATTGTTTTGTACCCCCAGACCAGTTTAAAGTAGCTGAAGCACATTGTCAAATCTTCATCTCCTTTTTAACTTGCTGGTTTAAAAGTAGTGTGGTGGTGGGGATGTTGCGTGTTTTGGTTTTGTTATTGTTCCTTTTCCCCAACTATTGTAATGATAGAGATGCAGAAATTCAGTTCAAAGTTACAGCTGTAGCTCCTAGGCATGTATTCTTCCTGGTGATGGGGATAACTTGCAAAATTTTTTAGATTCCTGGTTTAAAAGCCTGTTGGGCTTCTTTCATGTCATCCTGGCAGGAAAAGTTTTTGATAGTAGGGTCTATATTAAAGGTTTATATTGGTACTTAATTTCTTCGTGTCAGTATCTTTGGTCAGCTGAGATCCTTCCTGATGGTGACTCCCATGGCCACAGATTATTTAAAAACAAAACAAAAAAAACCCTCAAAACAAATAAACCCCATAGTGAGTGGACATGAATGATAATCGCTGTCCTTTTATGTAGTTCATTTTTAAGTGAAAGTAAAATATTCAGATCTCATTCTTAGATTCCAATAATTGCTGTTAGACTCTGCCAGTACTTGTGGCTATGGAGTTAGAGTAGCTGTTCCAGCCAAGCTTCAAGTAGAGCTCTTGCTCAGAAACTCACTAACTATTTGCCTAATGTAAATTTATGTAGTGCCAGCATTTTTAAGGTCAGTAAGTCAAAAGCGATCCCAAGTTTTCTGGGATCAAAAATAAAGATCTTTAAAGCTGGTTTCACTCATCAAATGAACTTGTATTTAGTATACATACAGTATAAATAGTATAACGTAACTATGGTGATAGTATAATGATAGTGTATTGTAAGTAAACACAAGATTAGTAAAAGATTACTTACAACATTGTCACTCTGTTTCTTGTGGAAATTGAAGGGTATAGGGAATCTTTATGAATGTCAAAACTATCTACAGTGTGTGTAGACACATGTAATGCATAGAGTGTGTGTATGCACATACATACACACTAGAGAGAGAGTGTAAGATGGAGACAGAGGAGCTTCCAACCAAGGCTAAGTTTGAATTTTGTACTTAAATCAGAAAAGTTATTTCTTCCTGCACTTTCAATAAGCTTTGAAATTGTTTGTCACAGGTACCTTGATTTATTCGTCACTTACATCTTTAATATCTAGTGCAGCATTTTCTTTGTTGAAACGTCATTCTTTTTTTATAGCAGGAGCACATGTGTTTTGTAACAGGAAACTCTGGCACTGTTTCTTTTCCACAGCACTGACTTATTAAAAATGACTGGCCCGTTGAGTGAATCCTTCTGAAGAAGAGACATTTTACAGTACACTTTTATGACCTAAGCCCAAAAGATTGATGTTGGACCCTTCTCATTATATGAAAAGATACATTATTGCCTTTGGGACTGTTGGCCATCAAGGTATTAGTCTAGTTCTGATGTTCTCTTTGAAACTGACGTGATCTGAAAATTATTTTATAGTATCTACAAAAACTTTGATTATGGCTTTTAGACCTTTATAATCTCATTACGTTTTGGCTGCCTTCATGACAACCAGCAAGTAAATATTTCTGCCTGTTAAATATAAATCTATATGGAAAGGAGCATGCTTTTCATTTAAAGTAGCTGCCTATTTCCCCATCGTGATGTAGTAGAAAATCATGGGTATCTGTAACTGAGCAAGAACCATTTGCCATTTTATAAGTAGATCGTGGGAGAAAATCAGTGGGTGTGGTTGTTTTTCTTTTAAACAGAGAAATTAAAACTTACACGCAGACCTGATTTTAAGACCCTTTACTGTATGGCGGATCTAATACCAAGAAAGTCTTCACTGTGTAGCTGTAGGGAAAAGGATACTTATCATTAATTTTTCTAGTGTGTCAGAGGACATGGCTTTTGTCTTCGTACTTCCATACCTCAAAAGGGTAGATGTCTTTGTTTCCTGAGCCTGAATTATTGCTTATGTTCCCTGTGTATGAGATAAGGACCTCATGTAGTATTTGTATCAGGTAGGAAACATCAGAAAAGAATATATGTTAGGACTTCAGAGAAGTAAGCCTTGGGTTAGGTTTTTGCCCTGGGAAAGGGATGTCAGCTTTTGTTAGAGACTCACAGCCCTGAACTCTCTTGGAAATGGCTTGGCTATTTATTTAATACTAGAGGTGAAAAGTGTACAGTAGAGCGGTAGCTAGAGCCGCTGCTTTAGCAGCGTATTGCTCAGATTCAGTTTCTTCCATTGCCAGAGAGGGAGAAGGGCCAGTATTTTCTTCCTCCAAAGGCCTTCCGAAAGCCTTTGAGCCTTGGTGATTATTGGCACTTACCAGGTGATTGATTTTTTTTAAATTATTATTCTTATTCTTTTATTTTTCCCAGGGATGGGAAGACTACTGGAAGAAGGGAATCCTAGGTTTCCATTCTTGATCTGAAGAATATATACCATTTTAGAATAGTCTGTGGAGCATGGATGAGAACTAAGGCCTTGTCTATTTCCAAGGAAGTTTTGGGAATTACAGTAGACATAGTCTTGCAGATTTTGAAAGTTTCAGCTAATAATCTTATGTGGGGTAAATATTTTCACCAGAAAGAAATTAAATTGTTTTCTCAGGCCAAGGGGTGGATCCAGTTGCTGTCTTCTAACTATGTAATGGGAGGGTATAGAGAAGGTAGAGTTGTGTAATGAAAGACTAAGAGGCAAAGGACACAAGTTGCACTAATGGGCGTTCTGTTTTCATTATGAATGTGGTCAGGCATGAACTGGTTGCTCAGAGGCTATGGAATTTCCATCCTTGGAGATGTTCAAAACTTGACAAGGATCTGAACAGCCTGAGCCATCTTTGGTGTTGGATATCATATTGATTGAACTTCGAGTAGGGGTTTGGATTAGATAAGTTCTAGAGGTCTCTTCCAACATGAATCGTTCTATGATTCTGTAATTTGTGAATTCTGACCTGACTTAAACATCATCTAGGTGCTTGTGTCAAGATTAACTTCTATCTAGCCTAGTGTGCTTAAAATAAGAGATGGAAACACCAGGTTAGACCTATGGTAGGTTTTGCCTTCTGTAGGATTTTTGCAGGTCAATTTGGCTGAGTCCCATTTTTAGGTGCTCAAGTCTGTTGACTGATCTAGCCTGAGATGTTAAGAGGGACAAAACTAGATGTGAGTACCAGGGTGCTGTTTTTCCAGTGGAACTGTTTTCATTTTGGAGAAAACAGGTAGTGTTTTGTTTGTTGTGTTGTGTGTTGTTTGGTTTTTTTGGTGGTTTTTCTTTATTTTTTTAGCAAAGCAGCTTTAAAAAAAAAGTTTGGTATGATACCACAAATCTCATTAAAATATCTCTGATTTATGTAAATAATTTGTACATAGGTAAATACACAGCTGAGTTTACTGCTAGAGATAGTTGTGTGTGTTAGCACTGCAGATGTGAAGTTCAAATTACATTTGTGCGTAACACCTGATTGGAATACACTGTACTCGCCTGTATGCCATGTCACCTGCTTGTTACTTTCTGTAACTTCCTAGTATTTTTAAAATGCTAAAAGTTGCTACTGTTAAAAATGAAGTTTTTAACATTACAGGTGTTCATCCATTTTAAGTAGCCTTTGTGCCTCACTGTCACTGATAATTTTCATTGAAAACCTGAGTTTCAACGAGTCAGTGAAATCACTGTTTCTTTCTTCCATACTCACTGAAATGGCTTGACTTTTTCAGCTCGTCTTCAAACCAATTGCTGCCTTACATAGTCTACATAATATACATAGTGATAGAAAGATTTCTTCTTCCACGTGTTTGGTGTCTTTTATAGGACCAGCCATAAGTTGACTCCTAAACTTACTGTTATTAAATAGGATATGTAGAATATCAAGAATATAATCTTGAATAATATCTTTCTTTTCAGTTTCTCACTCCTTCTGTGCTGTAAGAAGTGAAGTTACTTATGAAATAGGTGAAGCTAAGAAGTGGAACATGTGCTTTTGGTGGTTTTTTTCAACAGTATTTTTTATTTTATATATATAAACCACAACACAGTACTGAGCTCACAGGCTTTTGCAATTAGATAGGTTTTGATCTTTTTCCTTACTCAGTTGTATGATTTCTTCCACACTTTTGATTTTTAAGAACATAAGGACATACTTAACTCAAAGGAATCTCATACCAGGTCTGAAGTGTTGGAGGACTTCTGTCATTTTGGCAGCATTTCAGTTGTGTATTACATTTTACTGGTAAGAATGTTTTTGTATGCTTTTAAAATAGCTTTATATTGTGTGTAACTTGTGAATGAGTGCTCATCAGCTATTAAAATCCTTTCATGAATCTCCTTTACTGATGTTACTTGAACTATTAAACTATGTAGAACTTGTTCAGCTCTTAACTGAGAACATCAGCTGCTGAAAGCACTAAGAGCACTTGTTTGTGGTGGTGTGTAGCACTGCCTTGCTTTGCTTTTATGACACCATTTGACACTGATTCTTTTTTGTTTGTTTTTTCAAAGCAAAATCAGATCTTTCAAGAGAAAGGGTTGTGAAAAGCATTTTGGCTGTGTATCTCACTAAGTAATGAATACCTCATTTCTGTTGCTATGTGTTGCTTCCACTGATTTGCAGTGTTGCAAATATTCTTTTCCGATAAAGAAGGAAAAGTCATGATGCAAATAACTGAGCAGAATGTAACTTACTACTTTCACTTGCAAATTACATACAGTGTGAAGCTTACAATGCATGACATAACCTTATGTAGTCATTTTGTCTTCATCTTTGCTATCCCAGGTAATATAATTAGAGGCCAGTGGATGGTGACTATAGAGATAAAGAATAAAGATAATACTTGTGGTTTCTTGTGCCTGAAATTCATTAAATAATATCATAAAATTGAATTGATTGGGAAGGTGGGTGAAGTTTAGGATGGTTTGTGTTTGAAAGGGCTTAATGACTTTTCAAGTTGTTAAAAGTACGGAAAATATTTTGAGAACGTTAGATGGGGCTTTGAAGTCATTCTGTAACTTGCTTTTTTGTACTAGATGTGCCATTAATCTGTGAAATTGGTACTTCTGGTTTTGCTTTATAAAATCCATTTTGAGGACTATTTTTGTTATATGGAGTAAAATCAAATTGGCAACAACCTTTGAGCATGTTCTCCTAATCATTCGGTTTTACTATAGATTCTGCAGCTGAGGAGGTGTACCTTGTACATGGAATGACCATTTTGGAGAGCATAAGAGGCTCAGGACACTTTTTGTCACACAATTCCTCTTTTTTTTTTTTAATGGCTACTAAAGACAATTTACTAAGTACAAGACTTGTGTTTATAACATCAGACTTCTTGATAGCAGAAGATTGGTACATAGAGACAACTAATTGTTCCGCAAGTGTAGAGTTCCCTAATAAATGAGAAATTATCAAAAAGTGCGGTAGTATCTCATAGCCAAACTAGAGGGGGTAATTGCATAGTGTTAGCATTTATACTGTCCATGCAAAACCTCAATTTCTAGCTGAATTAAGAAATCGTCTTCTCTAGCAAATCTTTCTAAATCTGGAGTCTTATTAGTGTTTTATTCCATGTCAGAACAGATAATTTAAAGACTTGTAATGAGAACATAGCACAGTACTCAAACATAAGAGCTGTTTAAATTCTGGCATTTCTCAGTTGATGTGACTTAGCCAGGTGCTTTCTCTCTAGCTTTTTTTTTTTTAAAGAAAAAGTACATCAAGTTATATGATGTTCAGTCTCTTAGAGAACCACATTGCTCCTTTTGCATAATGTTAGTAGCACCTGAATCAAAGGCCATTAAACCTGAGTTAAGACAGACAGTAAAACTAGACTAAAAAGTAAACCAGATAAGGAGTTGCTGCAATATTTGGGGAAGTTTGTCTAAGTAAGACAGAGCGGGAGATAAATTTCAAAAGAGGCGTAACTGGTGAGCGAACTGTTGGGGTCTGTGGAACATTGGAGATCCTTGGCACTTCATGGAGGTCACTGCAGCAGAAGTTTGGATTATCTGTAGGGAAGTCCTAAAGTTTACCCTAAAAAGGGAGGTGGGGTGCAGAATTTAACTGTAATCTTTTCCTCATTGCGTTGTACTGTTCTTTTTATCTCTCCTGTCAGAGTAAGCTGTGTATTCAGTAAGCTGAAAATGTGTTTAGATGTGGGGAATGGCAGAAGTAAGGATTTCTTAAGCTCTTTTTCTGACCTGGTAACAAACTCTTAAACCAGAACTAGGCTATCATCACTCTGCAGGCTTGGTTGGTGGGTACTAATGTGTCAGAGACATAGTGACTGATTGCTCGTGGCAGAATTATCTCAAATTCTTTTTGGGTGAAGGTTGCTATAATTTTCATATCCAGTCACTAAGGGTTTCATGGCGCAGTCGTTTTTAGCATGATCAGAGCTTGCAGTATCTGAGTTTCTGAAGTTCTCAGAAAAGTACTATGGGATCCGTGGATTAAAGAATGTATTCTCTGCTGACTTCGTGAAGTGCAAGGTAGTGTAGTGCAGGAAAGGAAGTCACAAGTCCTCTAAAGCTTCAGCATAGATTACTCACATTTTACCTGCAGCTTGCTCTCTGGAGATGGTTCTTTCTTGTATATTTTGAAGTAGGTCTCCACATATTGAAGAACAACTAACTTTCTGTGGATTACTTTATTCCCTTAGATAGCTCGTATCTCTTGTAACTGGATAAATTTTGAAATCAAGATCAATGCATCTTTGAACTTAATCACATGTAAACACGAGTGTTTTTTAGGGATGGTAAAAATGGAGATGTTGTTTTACAAAGGACTAAATATAATTTATTAAGAGAATCCTGTGAGAATTTTTCTTGGATTGAAGTGGGATTTGCCTTCTTGTTTCCTTTGGCAGATGGTCTACATTCCCCTATTGTCACTTTTGCCATGCTTTACAAGAATACAGAAGTAGCACAGTACATGCAAAGCTAGTGAGACCAGTCAGTTCTTATTTATGACGTATTAACTTTTCTTCATGCCACAATAAAACTGGAAAGAGACTAGGAGTCATATGGTAGTTATTTTTCCAGCATGAATTAGTTTCTGCAGAGAATGACAAAATTGGCAGGGCTGCAAAGGTACGTGAATTACTCTGCCTTCATATGGAGAGCCTTTAATTATGATGAAGTAGCTCCTTAAAAGACACAACACCTCACCAAAAAAACTCCCCAAAAATGCAAACAGGGGTCTGTAAGTTCACACTTCATTCATGTCATTTATTAATTATTTTTTCCCCCCATTATAGTTGTTGACTTCTGCACACGTGCATGCTTTATCACTTGTTTTATAAAGAAGAAACGCGGGAAAGGGAGAACAAAGCTTATATGCAGTGGTGGTTTTATAAATAAGACTCTTCTTCTCTGTTTTCCAGATTCAATATTGCATAAACATGGGTGCATTTTTGGATAAACCAAAAACTGAAAAACATAATGCTCATGGTGCAGGGAATGGCTTGCGTTACGGCCTCAGCAGTATGCAGGGATGGAGAGTGGAAATGGAAGATGCTCACACAGCTGTTGTAGGTATTCCCCATGGCTTAGAGGACTGGTCCTTTTTCGCTGTCTATGATGGTCATGCGGGATCTCGTGTTGCAAATTATTGCTCCACGCACTTATTAGAACACATCACTAACAATGAAGACTTTAGGGCGACAGAAAAACCTGGATCTGCTCTTGAACCTTCAGTGGAAAACGTCAAGAGTGGAATCAGAACTGGCTTTTTGAAAATTGATGAGTATATGCGCAATTTCTCAGACCTCAGAAATGGGATGGACAGAAGTGGCTCAACAGCAGTGGGAGTTATGATTTCACCTGAGCATGTATACTTTATCAATTGTGGTGATTCACGTGCTGTTCTCTATAGGAATGGACAAGTCTGTTTTTCAACACAGGATCACAAACCTTGCAACCCAAGGGAGAAAGAGAGAATCCAGAATGCAGGAGGCAGTGTAATGATTCAGCGTGTCAATGGTTCATTGGCAGTTTCTCGAGCTCTGGGGGACTATGACTACAAATGTGTTGATGGTAAAGGCCCTACAGAACAACTTGTTTCTCCAGAGCCTGAGGTTTGTGAAATTTTAAGGGCAGAAGAAGATGAGTTTATCATCTTGGCTTGTGATGGAATCTGGGATGTAATGAGCAATGAAGAGCTCTGTGAATTTGTTAAGTCTAGACTTGAAGTATCAGATGACCTGGAAAAAGTGTGCAATTGGGTAGTGGACACTTGTTTACATAAGGTATGTAACTGTTTTCTCCAAGCAGCTGTTCTAAAATGATCTTCTGTTTAGATGGGTACAGTGTTAACAGCAGTTCCTGGCCTACTCTTCGCCTTCTCCCTCTTCCTTCCCTCAAACTTCTGTACCCATTTGACTATATATTCTTGCTGAAGAATATACAGCCTTATCCTTTTGCCTGGAGAGGTAATAGCAATTGCAAAAATGAAGGTTTATTATTTTCTCAAATAATGCTTGCATATAGTTCCAGCTCTAAACTTTGTTTCCGAATATGACATTTTTAAAATGAATAAATTTTGTGCAAGGTGGTTTTTTTTTTTGTTCTTTCAAGTTGGGCAGAGTTTGTATCCTTTGCATAAAACCAGTGTTTGCACCATCTCCTCTTCAAGGTATGGTTTGTCTGTCATCTGAAGTGGTGTCCTCAGCTCATTGCTGTAACTTAGATGGAGAAGCACTACTTTTGCATCTGAGCTTGCTTGTACTCCTCAAATGTAGAGTTTGTTCGGAGCAACTACGGGTCGGTCTACAAATGTATCATAGGTATACTACTTCCAGCATTCCCTGAAAAGTGCAACTCCTACTAGTGCAAATAGAGTTCTTTTGCTAAGCCACACACCAAACATGCAATTTTGAGGAAAATATTAAAATTCAGAATTCTAATGCTAAAGGGTAAGTAATTTTTTCAGAAATAGGGTGTATTCCAGCATAAACCATACATTGTATGATTGGTTTAAATGCCGTGACTTTTCTGACCAAGCACTTGACCAACCACTTGTGAAAGGATGGTCATTCTAGTATACTTTCAGTAAAACTGAGCCCTGACCTCGTGTTTATTTTATAAAGTCAGATCCTGGATCTCTGCAGTTTGTAATGATATTAGAATGTTGTCCTCTGTCTTCAGGATGTGTATTGTACCATGTAAGATTAACTGCTGCAGAAAATAGGTGTCCCCATATACTTGGTATGAAAGGGAATGTGGAGTAACTCCTGAGTATTTCCGAGGGAATTTATTCTAATGTCAGATTCCTACTTAATTTCTTCAGGAGAAGGAGGAGTTGTGATAGATAATAGGAACTATCCAGTAGGTTGGGTTTACACAGAAACGATATGCAGTGACTAATGGGCCTTAAATTTCTACCAAAAAAAAAAAAATTAAGATCTTGGTTTCAAACCAGGAATTTAAATTATGGTTCTACTGGATCTCCTTGTAAGAGACTTAGACACTGTGTTTTTCAATTTGGCTGTGGATTATAATTTTGAAAATTAAATATGAGCAGGAAAGTGGTATCAGAGCTTACTAGTGAAGAACTGGCATTAAAGTTAGTATCTAAAAAAGCTGTTGGCTGATGTTGCTTAGCACATGATAGTCTGTACAGTCAGCTTGGCCGTACTAAATTAATTCATATTTTGTATTTATTTTCTTCAATTTGCTATGTATGACGGAGGTGCATTCTGATAAACAGATTTGTAATGAACGTCATGTCTTACATGAATGCTCTCAAACTGAAATAAATTAGTAGCTGGAGCTAGCTATTCTAGTAGTCTCGGATAAGTATTCTGCATTTCATTTTGCAGCATGAGTTGTTTTTTAACTTGGCTTAAGGTAACATTAAATGACTGTCGAATTTCTGACCTGTTTTCTTGATATTATTTTTAAATGGTTGACATGTAAATAAGTCCATTAAATATGTTAAACTTTAAGACTAAACATACAATAAAAATCAGTAAAATTAATTCTAGTGAGTAGTTTAGTTGGGAAACTTAGAATTTGTTGTTTGTCAAAATACAGTTTTATTGCAAGGTTTCTTTTTTCCCCAGGTATCTCTTTAGTACTGTATTTGGAACAAGTAATAATGTGACTAGAACAGAAAAATGAAAAATAAGACTAAAGATCCTAACTCTTCTTTTTGCTTTGTCATATAGGGGAGTCGTGATAACATGAGTATCGTACTAGTTTGTTTTTCAAATGCTCCTAAGGTCTCAGATGAGGCGGTGAAAAAAGATGCCGAGTTGGATAAGTACTTGGAATCACGGGTTGAAGGTAAGGCGTCTGTTTTGTTCATTAGAAATGCTGTCGTAACCTTCTTGAGCATGAAAACAAAAACCCTGAAAGGCATGATGCCACTATATGTTGGGTCAAATTCAGGCCTGGTTACAACTCTGAATTTTTGTGTGTCAGGAAAAATGTTTTTAAGCCACGTGGTTAGTTTATCCTGGTATTCCACAAGCGTTTTCTTAATGTGAGCTTTAGGTTTTTACTTCTATCTTTACAGGTCAAAATGCAACCACTGACCTTGCAGAGTGTTATATCAGCTAAGTAAATTGTGATATTGTTAATGTCTTGCTTATAAAATGCCATTAAAAGGGATACTTGTGATACGTGCTCCCTTTTTTTGTGACAATTTTTGGCAAAAAGAAAAAGCTGTATCGGGTTTTCATGAAGGGACAACTTATTTAATTATCCAAGCTTTCGTAACTGCTTCTATTTAACACAGCTGTGAGTTTTATTTTTTACACTGGCAACTGTTTTAAATGCATTTTTGCAAATACTTAGCAGTATAAATGATCAAATACCTATGAATACAAGAGCCTTAAATCATCCCTTTGGATTCTGAATGCTTACCAAGTGTCTGTGTATGTGTGAATAAAAACCATATAATCATCTAGAACTTTCATGGAGGACTAAATTTAATTCCTAACCAGTTTCTTTTAGTCACTGATTTTATAACTCTCTTTACTTATCCAAAAGGTTGAATGCAACTTCTTCCCTTAAGCAGAAACAGTGAAAGGAAAGTTAGCTTGACAAAGAATGGAAGACTTGCCCTTGTACATTTATTGCTTTTCTGCAGCATTTTTTCATGTCAGAAAAACTGATGTTTGAAGCAGGCTTTCAAACTGTTGCCTCTAATTAAAAATCTTTTATCGCTAGTTAAGGCTGTTCTCAGGTCTGACAGCTATATGTAGTGGCCTCCTGGTCTCTTCAGTCTTCTCAATTATTCTAGTGATCCAGGTATAGTTCAGTTTTGGTAGAATTGACTGAAGTTCAGGGCTGATATTGAAAGTTTGCCTTTTTTATAATATTGTTCTTATGTTGGCACAGGGTTTTTGCAGAAGCAAACCGGGCATGAACTGAGTTCTTGGAACAGTTTGTCTTGCTGTTACAAATGTTGCTAGGATAATACTGTGAAGTAGCAACATTGGAGAGGCGCAGTCCTCAGAGGTTTTGAAAGCCTTGTTGTTAATGATTCTTTAAACTTCCCTAATCTCATCAGAAGAGTACTGAAGCACTGTCACCCACTTACAGTGATGCAACTTCTTGACCCGTTTGTTGGAGCTATCAGTTATAGCAACAGTATTTAAGGAAGGAAAGGGTTTACTGAAGAGAAAGCTGGCTGAGATAACTTGTACCCTTTCTTGACTTGTTTCAGGCCTGAACTTCAATATTCTGATCACTAGATCCAAGTTTAACTGTGCTTCATGAAGAGGGTGGTCCCTTTGTAGATGGATAAGAGTCATCTGGCCTTCTTAGATGTATTTGTTCCAGGTGCTGAGACCAGTGGTTTAGCTTTATGCTATAGCATTGCTGTCCTGATGGTACTTTTCTGTGTTCATGTTGAAAAATGCGATATTGGCAGTCTACAGGACTGTTCAGCAGAGTTCCATGAAAGTAATTTTAAATTTGGGTGCCAAGATGTTTGGGACTTTGCAGGTCAGAACCAGCATGAAGCCACCATCTTGAGACTGTAACAAGGTCTCAATTACATAAACCACAGCTCTGGCTGCTGACTGCCTGAGCTTGAGCATTTTTTATGAAAAAAAGGTATGACTGACCAAATTATCCCAACATGGATCCGGAAACTTTCCAGGCACCCAAGCAAGGTGTGTATAATCTGTAGAGGTAAAATACTTAATTTGCTTTCTTACGACTATTTGATGAGAATTCCTAATATAGGACTGCAGCACTATCGCATACGAGACAGATGCCACTTCTGTTTTTCTTGTTGGTTTTGGTTTATTTGAATATATGAGACACCTACTGGCTTTTTAACATGTTGTAATGGATACTGAAAGGACTGATTGGACATGCTTTTGTTAGAAAGTAATTCATATCCAAATCAGTAGCATTAGGTATAAATAAGAAGTAATCTGTAGATCCGAGGAGATCAGGAATCTTCTGAGAGTGTACAATAGCTAACCGTTCATAACTTTTCTTAACACTAATTCAGTGTAAAATGCAACAGTGACATGGAAGTGTACATGCTGCCGCTGGAACCCGGTTGGCGTGGACAACTGTTAGCTTTGCCACTTTAGTATCAGAAATTCTCAAACTTATTTTAATGCTAGGAGTGACACTCTAGGTATTTCATCATTTAATTTTTCATTTGTGTGAAACAGCTGTGAAAATCACTCATGTTCTTTGTCTAGATATCTTTTTTTATTACACTCTTACTTAAGCAAATGAGGTGGACTTAGACATTTTTTTGTTTGTGTCAGTGTCCCAGTAATCTAGATAGTTGATGTAACAAACCTTAATCTTTAAATATATATAAGGCCTTCAGGCCATGATACAAGTTACCTCTGAATGGATACAAGTTATCTCTGAACGTGCTGGTGTTGTGTGTGGTTTTTCCCTCTTGTTTAAATGGGATCTAAATGGAAATGGCTTGCATATTTGTAGTTTCTGCTGAGATTAGAGAGAGCTAATGGTCACTTCAAATGCTAACTCTAGGCCTGTTTCTCAGTACTTGGTTTACATCCCAGACTTCCTAGATGACACTAGTTAAGATAAATACCTGTTATCTTCCTGTGTCTGAGTAGAGTACATGAGCTGTTAATAGGCTCTGGGAGAGAGCCAGGAGCAGTTACCTTCACTGACAGCAGTCAGGTGTGCACTCAGTGGTTACTGGTTAGTATTCCCAGCTTCTCGGTGGCTCCTCTCTCAGTTAGCAAATAGGTGAAAAATGTATGGAACTGCAGGATATTTTATTGCTTTCATAAGTGAATGTTAAGAAGATTAATAGAAAAGCTGTCAAATAACTTCTGATCAGAGTGACTGGATTAACTGAGTGATGTAGGAAGCACTATTTGCTAGTGACAATGCAGTGTTGTAGCATAATTGAGTTACTACTTTAACATATCAAAATAACTTCTTAGCAGGAATGTATTTTAGCTATATTGTCATATTTAACAAGTACTACGCACACCAAAAACAAGTGGAGGGTTTGTAGTCTGAACTGATGCAGAGCCATTCCGAATGTAACTCAAAATGATTGTTAAGTGCTCCAGAGAAATGAGTTGCTTCAAAGCTTGGACTTCTGTTGGTTCAGCTCTTCTTGATTTCTGCCTTGCCCTGCATCAGTTCCCTGTGTCATTCTGTGTTCTGCTAATTGGACAGAGTGCAAGTCCTTTAAATGTCAAGTATTTAGCAAGGAATGAGAGTTAGCATATTTGAGGAAATTCTGTCAAGTGGAGAAAATAAAGGAAATGGACTTCAGGAGGACTTGAAATATTTACCTGTTTTCTAACAAATTTTTGCATTTATAATAAATTCTATGAAACTGTCATTTTGACACAGCCTCCTTAACTTTTAAAAAAAAAAGTTGTTGGACTGCAATTTTTACCTTACATTTGTGCCTTGAGTATTATTAGTTCAGAAATGATACAGAGAAGCTTGTAACAAAATGTTTCAAACCACTAAGCAGCATGGGGAGAATTGTTTGGAAACATGTTGGATTCTTTTTAAAAAAGTAGTCTGATTTAAAGGTTTAAGTAGTGAGCAGAAGTACTTTTAACTTTAAAAAAAAAAACAAGTGGGGGAGAGTGTGATCTCAAGTGCTAGAGTAGTAAGGAAAAGTTTTGGAAGGTGGGAACATCTTTTTGATCAGGAAAGGAAAACTGCCATAATCAGTTTTGCATTCAACTTTAGACTAAGCATAGTCTGGAAAACAGTGCATAAGAGAGCTGTGTCTGAAAGGTTTAAACTGCCTTTAATTCTAAAAACTTAAAGCCTGGTAGATAAGTAAACTTAAAGCCTGGTAGATAAGTTGTGATGTTGATAATATGGATTTGATCATCTCTTCTGGTTATTTTCAAAAGACAGAAGTTGTATTTCTTTAGATGTATTCTAAATATAGTTTACACCTTAGGATAGTCGTCTTCAGGGAAGTATATTCGTTGTAATTTATTCGTAGCTCTGATGTGTTTTGAGGCTCTGAATGTGGTAAGCTAGGCAGCTAAATCCAAGAATCTATGTTCAGTTACAGCAAGTGATTGTATATAGTGAGGCTCTGTAGTAGATTGGCATTTTAAACATGTCAGACTAGATGATGACTGTTTCTTTCAAAAGGCAAATAATGGACTTTGTGTTAAATTATTATGTGCAATAATGTTTCTTTATCTGCTAAAGAATTAACAGCTCGCAGGTTATGTGCAGTTGGTTGATAGCCAATAACAATTTTATTTATACCTGTAGTAAAAACCTTCTGAAAAAAATCAGCTTGTCTTAGAACTACTAAGCTGCAAAGATGGAGATGTTGTCAAAAATACAAGCTATGAGTTCTCTTAGATACTCTTGTCTTTCAGTAAGTGACTAATTTAAATCAGGGCAACATTGGCACTTAGTATAAAATCCTTTGGGACTTCCTGAAGCAATTTTAGTTTGATCAGTGGTCCTGAAGCAATTTTAGTTTGAGTGGTATTTGTTCTTAATGAATGTACACTGTTCAATATGGAAAATTTTTCTGTTCTCTTGTGGACTTTAAATTTGAAGCTGACTGGACTAACCCATCAAACCTTTTAGACAACAGGTTTTTTCACTGCTATGCTTGGGCATTTTAAGCTCTGGCTTCGAGAGGAAGGCATTTTTTGAGGCATGCTTTTTGTTTGTTCAAAAGCAGTTTAATACTTACACATGTAACATTTGTAGTCTGTCTTTGTACATTCCTAAGTAGAATGCTGAGATCCTGTGTACTTGTACAATGACTTGAGTTAGTAGTTCCATAAGATCTTTCTGGAGTTACTAAAAGAGAATTGTTCTTTTAATACCAAAACAGAGTTTTTGTTTTAACAGAGTTATTAAAAAACCAAACTCAGCAAGTGACAGTTTACAGAGATTTCTAGTGGAAGAACTGTATACCAAAGCTCTTTTGCTAGTATGGGTCTTGAGGTTGATAGAATGTGTATAACTGTATTCCAAAGCTGCCCATTCAAGAGTATTCTGAAATACTTATGAGGTTGTAGTCATAGCTTGTGATTGAGTTAGTTATGATGGTGAGCACAGCCGTGCTTCTGTGTTGAGTCACTTAATTGGTTAATTTCCAAGGTAATGCAGGTGTTGCACAGTAGTTAAGTTATGCTAGGTCAGTCTTTTCTTACTGCCACTTTCAAATGCTACTTTCTGTTCTCTGTTTTTCTCTGTTTTGTAGAGATCTGAAGTTTGGTCACAGGAAGAGAAAACTAGGCACAGAAGTCAATTAAATTCTCTGATATGTTTCAGTTTATTTGAAAGGGTGTACCAGACAGGCAGTTAAAAAAACAAACAAAAACCCGAAAAAAACCAGAAAACAAAACACACTAACCCCCAAATCATAAATAGGGGCACCTGTTCTATGTAGGCATAAATGGTCTTAATAGTAGATGAATACTCAGTTAATACAGTGAGTTGGATGGTGCATTTTACATATGTGGAATATATACTGTATATAAAACTGATTTGTCATAATCTTATAGCTGGAAGTCAAAGGAGATGCTGGAACATAGCAAACTTGTAATGCTGTCTGGTTGGGGACTTGCATTATATAAAATTTGGACATGAGGAAAAATTTCTTTACTGGAAGAGTGGTTAAACATTGGACCAGGCTGCCCAGGGAAGTGGTTGAGTCACCATCCCTGGAAGTATTTAAAAGATGTGTAGATGTGGCGCTTAGGGCCATGGTTTAGTGGGCATGGTGGTGTTGGGTTGGAGGTTGGACTCAATGATCTTAGAGGTCTTTTCCAACTTTAATGATTCTATGATTCTATGAAAATTGAAATAAAATTTTGTCTGAGTTTTCAAAACGCTTATCTCAGAGTTAAGTGTTAGGCTTTTAGTGAAAAGTATTTTAGGAGTAAAGTAGACTTCGTAGTAGACTTTCATGCATTTGAATATATGATAATATCAGGAAATGATTCTTTAAGTGTCTGAATTATATTAGCAATGCAGATGTAAAAGTTTCTGCAATCGTGTTTTGCACGTTCAAGGGGAAAAAAATTAATTGCAGGGTTATTCTTAACATCATAGAGGTGAAAACCTTCTAAATGCCTATAAATCTGTTTCTGAAAATGTTTGGTTTCTTTCTCTAGTGGCCTTTGTCAAACAAATCCACAGCGTGTATCTGCTAACTGATGTGTAATGAAAAAAGGTCGTGCTTGGTCATTTGCTTTATTCTCAGATTTTCTATTAGGAAGCTTTTTTTTTTTTTTCTGAAGAGAGGGGACATGTTCTGGATGAAATTATTCACCCTAATATCAAAAAAAGAACAAGGAGATGGTCAGTTGCACCAGAATTCCTGATTTGGCACCTTCTAGCAATGGGGAGAAGATGCACATGGTTCAGTTCAGCACTCCCTGAGAAGTGGTTATACAGTATAAAGTAAAAGTTTCCGGTACCAAGAAATATACAGCAATCCTTAGTTGTGATTGCTTTAATTCCCTTTTAAGAAGATACAAAAATCTAATGCTTGCATTAATATGTAGTAATTGCTGACTTCTGTAGCCTTTCTTCTATTAATTCTTGCTATTTGTCTACTTTTAGTAAGTACAGAACCAGATGTGCTCTTGGTATAAAATGCCCTATATGCATGACACATTTCCTATCAGATGTGACTCAGCAAAATTATATTATAGTGGTACAATCTACTTCTAACTAGGTAGAACAAAAGGACGCAATGTATAAGAGGACTTGTGGCTGGCTTGTGTGAATGCGTATGGAAGAAGTGATCAAAATCCTAAGATTCAAGCCTACACATTCAGCTGTCATTTCCTTTGCTAGCCATGATTCATTCTTAATGGATGGATGTATGGTAGTATACATAAAGTTTCATAGAAGAATGTTTAATCACTTCTAGTAGTAGTATACCTAGCTTATTCATTGCAGAGATTGTATGGTGCTGACTTAAAATTGGGGCTTAGAAGCATAGTGCCTTACTTGTTACGGGGTAGTAAAACTATTCTAAAAGTAGAATTGCTTTTGGGGGCTTTCCTACAGATCTCCCTGATACAGAGTAAGTGAGTACCTTGCAAGCACTTTGTTTTTAGTAGTCCTGAGAGAAGCCTGCATACCACTTGCTTTCTAGATAGGTGATAGACATCAAGAGGTTTAAATACCAGGAAACTTGGGATACAGTGTTTAAAGCAGGTAAGTGATGTGCTTTTCTGCTGACTTCAGAAACTCAAATTGTAGCTGCTTCTGGCTTTAGCTGCAGGCTCCAAATCAGGCATCCATAATATAATCAATTGATTGTAAGAAATTTAAGTGATTTGTTTATCTGGATGGTAGCCAAGATACAGACTGACTGAAGTTTTTTTAGGATTATATTTGAGAGGATTCATTCTTCTTAATTGTTCTGTTCTGTGGCTCAAACAAAGAATTTTTATCTAGAACAATGTCTACAGGAAATGGCACTCCATTCCTTAATTTAGTTGATTTTCAGAAAAAAAAGTCTTAATGTGGTATGTGCACACAAATACCGTTTGTAGATAACTTAGTGAATCTTTTTCTGCCATGGTGGTAGTTGAATGACTAGAGGCTGACGACTGGCAGCTGATAGTGTTATGCCTATGTGAATGTATACGCAGCTATTACACGTTTGCCTTACAGCAGCTTTGAGGAATAAGAACACGTGAAGATTTACTTCAGTTTAGGCAGTTCTTTTGCAAGGTAGAAGAACTTACTAGCACTGGACTTGTGTGATACTTCTGCTTTGAAAATGGAATACCGTGTTATTAATTATTCATTGTCAGTTCTATATTCTGTTTTGGCCGCTTGAGTGATAATGGGCCATTATATATGCCTCTTTATTGCATGATGGTCTTAGTGTTTACGCACCGGAGATTCAGGCCTTTGAGAATTCAAGGTGTTACTCACAGTGAAGTATACTGAATTCCTGGGAAGCGTTGGCTTTACGGCATGTAACTTCTGAGTATGTGTTGCAATGCAACAGGAAGGTAACTGAAACAACTCCCAGCTGTCATCTTTTTGCGAGAGAACAGGCTGCTGTCTCCAGGGTATTTCATCCAGTTCACTGGAAAGGCAGACCATGGATTTTAATAGCTCTGTTCCACCATGCAAAGGCTGTTTACTTAAAATGTGAAGAATGTTTTCCTGGTTACATGTGACTTTTTCATAATGTCTCTGTGAAAAAGTGATAGTATCTTGTGTATTAGCATCTAAAGGAATGGGTGGTATTAATTCAGTAATCTAAGGCCTTCTTCTGTTTTTAAATTAGAAATTATGGAAAAATCGGGTGAAGAAGGAATGCCTGATCTTGCTCATGTTATTCGTATTTTAACTGCGGAGAATATCCCTAATTTACCACCAGGAGGTGGTTTAGCTGGCAAGTGAGTACAGTACTGGAATTTCTTGAACTGTTTAGTTCACTGAAACAAATACTTTTATTTAAATGTTTTAAAGCTTTCTTATTGTAATAGCTATACTCAAATTAAAGAAAAAGTTATATTTTAAGCTAGTTTACCTTTTGCACTACATAAACATTTGTGTCACTGTTCCCACTCCAGAATGGTAAGAGGAAACAGATTGATCATATTCTGGTACATAACACACTAGTTTACTATTTCCATATGGCCATTTTAAAAAGTAAAAAATATTTATTCTTGGCTTTTTACTGCTTTACATTTGTTAAGAACTATCAATAATGTAACCAGAATATCAAAATACCAGCTCAGTTTTCTTGATGTCGTGCTCCCTCCACCACCTAATGTCCATAATAGGTTTGGGTCAATGCTTGTTTGCTCAGCAAACATTCTCATAAGAAAATTGGTTTTCTTTGTTTTAGTCTTAAACTGAATGTTAGAGAAGCAAGAGTATTGAACTAGGATATGCATTTTAAAACTTAATTGGAATAAACATTCAGGAATGACATTGGTTTTCTGGGGAGGCTAATGGTGATGTTCTAACAACCTATAATTCAAGGATTTTAATGAACAGAATTTAGGATTGCATAAACAATTGTTAATCTAGAATTTGCCAAACAGTGGGACCCATTATTACTCCTTAGCATAGGTCATGTTGCTTCTGGAACCCTTGTATTTTTCAAAATATGAAGTCCTATCCTCTGAGTATTTGTGCATACATCTATTTTCATTGTGTGTACTTATTAATTAGCACTGTTTGCCATGATTATTTTTCTTCTAGCCTTGAAAGTACCTGTATGTTCTGGGCCTTTTTCTCCACTTGTGTGCATTCCAGGCATTCAGAGAAGTTGTGGTGTGCCTATTCTTCTTAGTGCCTCTCAACTGCTGAATGAGTTGGTGTGTGTTGTTGTTTTGCTCATTTATAACTGCATCACATACTGCTTCATTATTCTGGAACCTTTGCATATAAATTCTAGTTAAATTAGTTGTGACCCAGGTTACATTTTTAATGGGCTTAGGTTCAGAATTTGCCTTTTGATGCCTTTCTCTCCATTTTGACTTTAAGTCCTGCGTTACAGAAAACTGACTTCAGGAGGTGTACCTGCAGCTTTTTTTAAGAGAATAGCATACAGTATTGAGTAACTTTTTCCTGGCCTTCAAACTTAGGACAAAGACAGGCAATGATGTATTTAGTTAACTTTGCTTGCAGGATTGAGCTCCTGAATGGAAATTTTGAAAAAGTACAACTACGTAACCCAAAACCACATACCGTGTAACCTAAAACTTTTGTCCTAACAAGAGAATATTCTTTGTCTTGAGATCCTTATCCTGTGATGTTACCAGGACATGAAGAGTTCACACTTTGTCCTTCTGTTTGAACTCTAAGACCTGACTCAAACAGGTTGCAGAAAGAGCTTGTCTGTGGCTGACATCCTTGGTTTTAGCACCAGTTACAGTTGCTCCTGGTTTTTAGTATGTCTGAGCTGGAGAAACGCAATGCAATGTTACCTTGACTAGACTATGTTTGCAAACCTTAGGAACCTCTGAAGTAGCTCCACTTCTACTGGCATTGTATACTTCCTTCAAGCATCTCACTTGTGTAGAAGCCCGTACTGGCTCATTCTTTCAGACAGGAGATCTAAAGGTGTCAACTCCGCTGTGGTCACGTGATGGTGGTCCTTTAAAATCTTACTCTTCAAACACTGGCTTCTGGCTTGACTCGGATCCCCCTGTAACTTCAAATGCTGCCAAAAGAATGGTCACTTATTGCTGAAGAAAACAAAAGTTCTGAGCCATCCTGTCAATTGGGCATTAGTACTTCCATTCAACATCTTGCTCCTGAATTTTCCCTTCAAAGGAAAGTACAAAGAAGCATGCTGTTCAAAGAAAGAAAAGTGAATTGCAAAGATAGGAAAATTCCCAAAGGCTTGAGTTTTAAGTCTGACTTAAACCCTCTGCAATGGCTATCTGCTGTTTCTATGGCAGCCTTGCTTGGACTGTCTGGGTGTTTTCTGTTACGTTGGTATGAGATACCATTGCTCTCCGTAGTACAGACATTTGGTCAGAATTGAGCCATTCCACCATCACTAAACGTGGAACTAAATAGAGAGAACCTTTTCCTGAATCATCTGCATAAAGATTTAGTTTCTTTTCTCTAGGAAAATCTTCCTTCAGTGCTGATGGATCCCATGCTAGCTCAGCCATGCAACCCTTCCAGAATTCTTAAAGCATTGACTTTAACTGTTGTGCCCTTGGAGAAGTTGTGTTCTTCGGTGTACTTTTCATATCAGACATAATTTTTGAAAGTGCCACTATCAGTTTAATTCTGAATTTCTTTCCTGGAGCTCATTCAGACACAGCCCCAAACCATGTGTGAACAAGCACAAATTGTATATACACCAGTGTCTTGAGGCTTCAAGTTGTCAGGTGTATCTGTTGTGCCTGCCTTCTGCTTGTCTTGGTAGATAAATGCTAATTTCATCATCGACATATGTTGCCTCTGAACACATGATAGCACGGTGTCTTTTCAGTGTTGTAGGTTAGTGGTCATCCTGAGATCTGATGCACTGTCTCTTGCATTCACTGGTCTGCAAACCATCTCCCAGAGTTCTGAGTATTTTAGTAGGTACTGTTTTAAATGCTGGATCATGACTGGAAAAATATATTCTGATGCTGGACACTAGATACCGAGATTACCTGATTTATTGCTTTGTCTCAGAAGTTGACATGCTTGCAACACTCCATTCAAAAACAGAGCTGTTTTGAATGTGCTTTTGCTTCCACGGTGTGAACAGAACAACCTCATCATACTAATCAGACCAAGGATCGTTCTAGCTCTGTGTCCTGTCCATAGGATAGCTGAAAGTAGATGCCTAGGGAAGAATATAAAACCAGGAAAATATGTAAATTCTTCCCCTATCATTATTATTTCAGTTTTCAGCTTCTCACAGCTGAGGTGCTTCCTGATCTTGAGGTAGTTTATGTACTTAGTGACTTTAAATTTCTCTTCCATGAAGTTAAATATGTTTAGAAGGTGCCTCATCAAACTTTTGGCATCCTCTGTATTCTGGGGCAGAAAGTTCTGTTGCATCAAGAGCCATCGTTGTGTATTTTTGAGACGTTTGCTGCTGCCTTCATTTGCTGCCCTTGTGCTCTTTGTTTGGAAGAGTCAACAGTCAGTGCTTATCCGCATTCTATAGGACATCGTTTTTATAGATCTTGGCCACTTCCAGACTTGAGAGTCTTAGTTCATGTAGCAGTTCTTTTTTGTTGAAGCTGTCAATAACTTCGATCATATTTATTATACTTGTCTGAACACTTCCCAGTTCTTACTATGATTTCAAGATGTAGGGACATAAACTTTTTCCCCTCAGAAGTCTGTTTATACTTTGGGTTTTATTTTTTGAGAAGCTGCTTGTGCTTATTTTGCCTGCCTGTGAAGGTTTGGCCTTACGTGGCACTGCCAGAAAGAAGTCTAGCTAGTGGCATTCGGGTTTTAATTTCTGCAGTGTGAATAGACGCTAGACAACACATCTCAGAGGTTGTGTACTCTGGGCACCACACTTCAAAAGTTTGTAGGCAAGTAGTAACCTGTGTGTATGTAATAAAAATGGGGGAAAGCCCAACTGTCTACAAGTTCCACATCCAGAAATAAGGCAAGAAAACCAGCAAACTTGAAGAATTTTGTTATAATAAGCAAAATATAGGTTTAAATGTTACTCTTGGCAAAATCTGACTATGCAGCTGGAACTTCTAAAGATGTAAAGGGGTAGACCATGAGGAGGGTAAGGTAAGAAAATGTTTTGCCTTGTTTAGTCTTTACAAATCCTGACTTACTGCTAAATCCCCAAACATCATATTGAAAGTGAGTAAAGACGCTGAGAGTGGGCTTCATCTTTTTAAGAGGCAGGTTAAAGGCAAAACTTCTTAAACACTTTGAAATTATTACTGTGCTCACTTTCTAAGTTCTCAATGTTTTGAACTCCTTTGTGCTCAATTTTTTTAAAACTTCTCTTTTTAGGCGTAATATTATTGAAGCTGTGTATAGTAGGCTGAATCCACACAGAGAGAACGAAGGGGTAAGTTCCCATTTTGATTGCTACACCTCTTTGTTAATGAGAACATCAAAGTAGTGTCATACATTAAGCAAAAGTGTACATCACTGGCAATAAAGTATTATAAACACAAAATACCTATTGTAGCATACAGTTCATTTTGACCTTGTTTTGGATGGATCTGATGTAGAACTTCATCCTCAAAAAGACAGCAAGGTGACACCTAATTCTGAAAGACTTTTTAGAAATTTGACTACTGCTTTTTCAGTCAAACCTGTGAGACAACAATGCAGGGTTTTTCTAAATTATAGCTTATTATTGTCAAAAATTATGGTCAACATATTCATTGCTTAACTAGCTATTATGTCTACTGTCCAGAAATCTAGTAGAATAGAGGGCAAACACTTCGTATTGTCTTCTGTAAGTGTGGAAGACCTTGGTACACTGAATATAAAAGATAACGAGGCATTGTAATATTGACTACTTTTTTAGAGTTTACACTATCTTTAAATATCCCATGTATGGTGGTCTAAGGAAAGTGTAAAGTGATTTTAGTTTACTTCAGTTCTGATTTCTAAAATGGCTTACATTCTTCTGCCCAGTTCCTAATAAGCTGAATTTTTAGTGTGTTGAAATACGGTTTACTGTAACTTTAAACCTGATTATTAGGTGGTTCTTAATATTAGTATAAAGAGTAATAACTGGTGGTCATATCAGTTGTGGTTAAATTTGTTTTAAAAAAATCCTTGGAAAACTGAAGAACTGATTAAAAAATATTACTGCTGGTACACATGTTGTCATTTCGTGTACAGTTTATGTGAACTAATCTGTGAAGGTACCATTCATCTTCTAGTAAATCCTTTGTCATATTTTTTCTCTTCCAAGATGGCTACAAGGTCCTCAGGTAGTCATTACAATGAATGGTGTTGGAGAGATGTCAACTTTTATTTTAAATACTCTGAAATGATCAATTGTGTGCCTTGAGATTGTGAATATGCAGTGTCACCACAATTACTGTGTTTTTCCCACTGTCATCTTCTCTTGGCTACCTATGTTTGGTTTATTCTCTTAAGTTAGAAAGCTTATGTAGGTGGAAGGGGCCACTATTGTTAGAGATTTCTTCTCTATTTGTACTCTAACTTTTCTGATTTTTAGGATTTGTTCCTTTTTTTAGTTTGAAAGTGATAGAGTATACATTTTTCATTTAACTTTCAACAAATTGTGCAACAGTACCCCAAAACAAGCTAGACAAAATTTTCCCCTTTTCAGCTTCTTTAGTCCTTCAGGAAACTCTGCACCTCTATCAGCCTGTTACTACTTTTCATAGTTAGCCAAAATTTTGTTCCTGCTTTTGGGGTAAAGTTATTGGTGAAAGTGGTTTATTTGAAGATTATGGCATAGGTTTTATAAGTTGGTTGTTTTTTTTAAGGAAAAAAAAGTTTGTCTAATGGTAACTTTCTAGAAATACCATATGCCATAGTTGCATTTATGATGCATCTTTTCTAAGTTCAGATTTACTTTTCAATAACCATGCAAGCTCGCTGAAAGTCCTAACATACAGTACAGCATCCTTTTGTGTATTGGCTACTTCCAGGAAATTTTTGTACATCATCCATTATAATTTAATAAAACGAGGTAGCTGAACTAAATATGCAAGTTACTCATAAAAGAACATAGCTTTAACCCTTATTACCATTAATAGCTTTGACCTTTATTGCCATTAGAATCCCTGGACAGTTGTTTTGAGTCCTTTTAATTTGGCTTCTTTAATATGAAATGCGAGCAGTACGCTCCGGTCTCTACTCTGTAAACTTTGCCTTCTGTTGGTATTTAGTGCAAATCTCAATAATGATTTGGATGATGCATTTTAAATACACTGAATTAAATTTTAGTTTGATCTTGTGGTAAGATGTCATTTGCCAGTCAGTACCTTTTCTTTCCATCCTAACTGATTCTGACTCAGAGCAGTTTGAGAGGAGGATGTGCCACTGGGTGAAGGATGCAATTCCTGTTTGCACTTTCCCAGCACGTAGGAATTGTTATCTTACTGTCCTTGACGTGGATTAATTTAGTGGGCCTCATCTCTGAGGTGATGAAAACATGACTTCGTCGCTAGTCCTTACTCAGTTCCAGGTATATATGCGGTGATCTTAGTCTTCTGAACGGAATACTCTAGTGCACGGGGGGTGGGAGGGACGGTAAGAGGGAAGGAAGCTGTTCAGTTGCTTATCAGACTCTCCACAATGTCTACACATTGTGATAATGTTGCTACACATCTCACATTTAAACAGGAAGCAAAGGTAGGAAGGAAACACACAGTACATCCCAATGATGACATTTCCAAGTGAGACCGAAATCGAACTAATAATGCCCCTGTTAGAAACTAGTATGAAGCAAGAGTGGATCTTCATACTAAAAATCACGAGCTGCAGACACAGATGCTAAGTCCGCAGAGCACAAAGGTGCACTGACTTGCGCTTGAGAATCTTTCCCCGTGTGTAGTTAAGTGTACACGTGTCTGTTAGAGCGTGGGCGTAGTGCAGAATACTGCTGTTACTAACTGGAAAGTCTGCCTGTGGTAGTCATCTTCATCTGATTATTTTATGTAAGGCTAGAATCGTTTTTTTAACCTTGACAAAATAATAATGTAACTAATTGCTAAAATATTAATGCACACGGGTAAAAATTTTAAACACAAAAACCCTACAAAAACAACCCAAACCAACCAGATTAACTTTTGCAATTGAGGGTATGACAGCCTTCTAGAGACTATACTTTTTAGTGTTGAACAGTTTAAACTAGTTACCCTGAGTTACTGTGAACTTGGATCACAATAGCTTTGCAGTTAAGTTTTTAGAAAGTATATAAATCAAAACCAAGGTGGTATCCTTTTCGAGATTAGCTTTGTTTTTACTCAGCTCTGTAAAGATTTCAGTTAGTGTTGTGCTTAGAATTTTTGTCATCCAAGCTCATGATTGTAGAGTACCTTCTTCCAATTCTTCACGTGTACTTTCTGAGAATCTTTAACATATAGCCTAAATAAGGAGATGTTGTGTGAGTGAGAGACTGAGGAGTGAAAGAATCCTTACTACAGCAGCACTCAGAGATCGCTAGTGTGGCTTCAGGGTATAGCAGTCATAAGTCTTTTTTTCTTTTAGGCATCTCAGCAGAGTACAAGTATTTCGTAAATCCAGGGCTGGAGAGAGCCCTGCATTGGGCTCACAAAGAGCAGCTTTGCCAGTGTTTCAGCAGAGGGACTATAAATGTGGTGGCTTGTGCCTTTACAAGTATGAGTGAAATCATAGAAATCTGTTATGTATTGGGGCTTGGTGCTTTCAGCTCTTTAAAGGGCATTTAAAAGAACTTCTTCATAGCTAAATAATTATCACTGTAATGTTACAATGCTATTGAGTCGGTGTTCTAGTTAACATGTTAAAGTATTACTCTTTCTCTAATGGCTCTACTACTTCAACCTTTTTTTTTTTTGTGTTCCTAAGACTAGGAGGCTACTATCTAGTTAGGCTACTTGGGTGTATATGTGTCCTTAGACACAAGGAACAATGTTAAAATTACAGTGGCTGTGTTAATAATTTCAGTGGCATTTGTTTAAAGCCATGTTTGAGTATCTTGTTTGAAACCAATCATGTTTCTCTCTTGCTTTTACTAATACTATACTCTGGCACTTTGCTAAATCGAATCATGTGTCTTTAAGGGCTGCTACAGATAATTTCAAAAATGTAAATGGACAAAATCCTTACACCCTTTAAACATTGTAAATCCTGTCCCTAATATGTAGTAGCCCTTTTTATATACATAATTTAACAGAGCAGAACTTGTGTAAAAATGGTGAATGCTCATGTTAACTTGCACAATAATCTTAGTTTTCAGGGACCCGTTCTAGCCACACATCATTAGAGAGAAATCTGCGTTATAGTGTGTATATATAGTGTATAGTATATAAAAGAGGCAATTTCTGTCCTACTGTGCGTGGGGGTTCTTGTCTGCTAGCACTGAGGGAGATGAGGGAAGCACAAAATAGCCTCCCATCAAACAGGGTGCAAAGCAAAGCAGGATGTGAGTTTGAATATCAAACACTAACAGCACTGTTATTTCAACTCCTACTAGCATTTGAATAGTTCAGGAGTCTCAGAGCTTCTATTGCTTTTACTCTTCAGTGTTGCATGGGAGCAGAAGTATTCACTTCAGTCTGCCAAAAGAATTTTTAAAGGTTTGAATATTGTGAAATGTGGAGATTCAGGGTGTATGTTTGCTAATGTCAGCCTTAGAGCAAAACTGATGGGCTGGAGGAAGTACAGAATTTGAATGTTCTCTGAACTTAAAAAAAACTGGAATTCTTCAGTTATGCTGCCTTGTTTAATATTAGCTAGATAAATACATAAATAGTACTTTTTTGTCAAAACCTAAGAAATAGGATACATCTGTAGCCTCATGTTGATGCCCGGAGCTTTCACTGACTTTGTGCTCATGAGGCATTAAAACAGTCCCACTTCATACATTAAAACTACCTCCTCTAACTTGCTTCTCCTCACTGGGCTCTTGAAGAGCTATCTGAATGTGAAAATGCTAGTACATGGGAGTCAAAACATCTCAAACTAAGACCAGCAAACCACAGTGGAAGTATGTGCAACAAATGAAGCTTGGAGGGATAGCATTATGTGCAGTAACATTCATTTTTGTAGTAAAATTGTCCCCTTTTTAACTTAGACTGTGCTAATCAGTCTTGGGGCTTCTATTCCAGGAACATTACAGCATCCAAAATGCTACTGAACCCAAGATATTGTCTTAATGCTGCTATTAAGCTCATAACTGAGTGACTGCAATATTTGTAGTTTATGAAGCTTTTGGACTAGATGACAGTAAAATGAGGTCAGCATGAGAAAAAGGCAGTCTGGATTTTGCCTCTAATGTATTGCAAAATCTGCCAGCTTTCAGAGATACAGTTCCATTTGTCTAGCTTGATAACTTGCTAGGTATTAATAATTCAAAGTGTACTATTCCCTTAAAGCAACAGTACTGCTTTAGCACTTGAAAGTTAAAATATCTAGTATCAGTCTCAGCACTGTAATAGATGTGCAAGTCTATCGCAAAAAAAACCCCAACAAAAAAACCCCAATTATTTTCAACTGAAGGCTTGTAGCCAAATAGGTGGTTTGCAGAGACCTTCATTCCTTAACCTGAGTAATAAGCACTGATTTTGTGCCATAGGTTGCTAGATTTTACTTTGAATTAGCTGTTCCACCTGTTGATTTTTCTAGCCAATACACACATCTGCCAAAAATCGTGTCTGTCTTTGTTCAAACACCACTACTGCTCCTGGTGCTGATGGGTAGCTGTGCGATTCTTTCATGGCAGCATCATGCATGCAAAAATCAGCCTTCAATGTAGAGGGATTGTTTTGTAAAACACTTAGAGCATTGATTTTTGATGTGATGCTTCAACTAAACTGCTAGCAGTAGAGTTATCTATTCTCTTTAGTGAGTTTTTCACAGGGCTGTGTTGCTATTGGCTGTGCAGAAATTCACAATTAAAAATATTGACCTGATGGCTAAAGAAGCTTAAATTTTCAAATTTTTCACATGATGACTGACCACAGTTGTGGGGAATATCGGCTATATTCATCGAAAGACAATTTGAACCAAGATGGAGTTAATTGGGAGGAGGTAACATGTTGATGCTGTCTGGCTCAAAATAAATTGAAATTATTAAAAATGCTGTTGTAATAGGTATAACTTCTTAAATTATTATGTTGTATAAAATAGACAAACGTGGATGATATTGTTCTGAGATGTATGTTGCTAGTAAGGTCTTTTAGATTCAAATAGAGTAAAGCTGATGTTTTCTCAGTCAGAAAAATTGTGGTGTTTTTTGGGGTTTTTTTTTAAATGTCGTTAGAAAATATCCTAGTTTAACTACTGATTTTTTTGGGGTCTTGAATCTTAAAAAAAGGACCCTGGCGAAGCCGAGGAAAGTGGAACGCAGGGAAAATTGGTGGAAGCACTCAGGCAAATGAGAATTAATCATAGGGGGAACTACCGCCACCTTCTGGAAGAGATGCTGACTAGTTACAGGCTAGCTAAGATGCAGGGAGAAGAGTGCACTGCTGAATCAGCTGCAGCATCTACTTCAGATACTCATGCTGGACCCAGTGACCCCGTACCAGACACCCACACAGAATCTGGGAATCGCCTTCCTGAAATACAGAGCTCAAATGAAGATTCAGGGATGAATGAGATGAGCGATAAACAGATGTAATGTTTTACATAGCAGATTTAATGCTTCGCTTTGCTTGGCGTATTTTCCTTTGTTTATATCTCAACATCTGTCACATCTATCCTACAAGTCTGTTTTTACTTTAGTTATTTGTACAGATTGTTTATACAAAGCTCTTTTTTCCTTAGAAGTTCAACTACTATGGTATATTATAGTAATTGCATCTGATGATGTGTAGCAAGCAGTTAACTTCCCATCTGAGACTTTGATTTTTTTTTTTAAATCCTGTGACACCAACAATAGGAATCTAACATGCTGATGCAAAAATAAATTTTAAAACTTTTTCTTTTAATTACACTTTTAGAAAATAATTTTGATGGTATATGTTTGCTAATTGTAAAGTAATTCACATCTTCATTGTATCTTTTATGCAAATTAATTGAATTATACAAATTCTTCAGTCTTTTTTTTCCCCAGCATCATATACTGCATGATTGTATTTGAATTGTGTATAGTTTATATTATAACTGAATTACAAAAGCTGTTATGTATTATGCATGAAATGTCTTTGATTTTTTTTTTTCCAATTTAGATTGTATCCACTGTTCATCATAAATATCTATTTTCTAGACGACTGTATTATTACTTCCCAGGTTGTAGCATAACATATATCCAGAAATGAAAATGTACTTAGATTTAGTACCTAGTGTCAAGTTCTAAGAATTTGTGTTTAAGTGAAAATAAAGAATATGCTGTGGAATAATATCTGTATGTATATTGACTCTTTTAAGCAAGTAATAAACTGCCTTTGAAATGCTATCACTTGGACATGACTTGAAACTTTTCATAGCTTCTCATATTAACTCATGATGTTCATTAGTTTCTACAAATATCTGAGTAATTTTGGGTTTGGCACATTCATCGTGACCCTCTATTTGGGCAACACTTCTCAGGTTCAAGTTAAAAATCAGCCACATAAATGAATAAACTGGCTATTCTACCTAATTTTACCTTCTACCAAATCTTTTCCGTGTCTTTTGGTGTACGACACGTGTACGTACATGCATTTGGGTAGATCAGTGGTAATACTGGGAATTTACAGTGGTGGTAACTAATCTGCTAATAAGTTAAATCTGGAATTCTTGTGTCAGTGGTCAGTTCATAATATAACATTTGCACAAAAATATCATTGTTCAAAATAGGTACAGATTTCACTGCCTTAATGAAAAAGAGCCTGTGGGAATTTCTTGTGGACCAGGAATACCTGAAGAGCTGAGTTCTGTAGCATTTTATAGATTTTTTTTTTTTTGGTAGTCCATAGATGTAATATCTATTGATAGCTATGATTTAGTACAATTTTAGATCATATTTAATTTTAAGTCTTTATGCTTATAGCTTTACTGGGTTCACATTTTATAAAAGTGAATTCCCTCCTGAAGCTGAGGAACAGAGTGTCCGTGTGTGAGGAAGTGGGCAGGTATGGGGGGGGGAAAAAGGAAAATGTCATCTGTCTTACGCTAGTATTCTACTTAATTATGCCAGTTAAATCCAAAGTACAACAAAATGTTTTCATTTGTATTGGTGAGTAGTAATATTTCTCCTCTTCTTTTCCTGTAGGGTGCTGGAGATCTAGAAGATCCGTGGTAGCCTTACAAATCTACTAAAATGCTTTTGATTCTGAAAGGGGGAAAAAACCTTTTAAATCTGTTTTCTTCAATACAAGGGAAAAATTCTGGTGGATTTCCAACATTTTGTGAAATGGGCAGAAAGATATTAGAATTTTCCATCATTTGTTCATTTTTGTGTTTTCTGATATTGCCACTCTTAGCATTGCCTGTACTACAGTATTTCTACCAGCCTCGGGCATACTGATTACATCTGTAATGAACTTTGGCCCTAAGAAGGAAGGAAGGAAGGAAGGAAGGAAGGAAGGAATGATTCCCTCAGCAGATCAGTATATGTACCTGAGGTGCACGGGATTGTAGGTGTACTTTGAAGATACACTATGGCTAAATGAAATGTGCAACACACAAGCGTGAGAGAGTACAAGTAATTGTTTGAGACGTTACTTATCTCACTTTACCGAGTTGGAAGGCTTTGCAGCTCTGTGGCTTGGAAGTAATTTCAATTGGGCAATACGCTATCAGATGTGTATTTTTTTTTTTAATTTTCCAGTTTTACCTGTATTACCAGACCGTTAGGTTTCCCTGCGGTGTCCAAATTGTGATATGTTGCCTACTGCTTGCTTGAAGATAAGTGTATTTGGCAATAATATATGAAGATTCTAGGCATCTAAAAACAGTAAGAATTTTACGCATGTGTACAACACACCCTTAAACTCTTGCTAGAGAAAATCTTTTAAAACCAAACTGATGAATTTATAGTTAGTAGTGACTTGCTTTGACATCTCTCACAGCTGCAGGTTTTTTTAAAAAATGCTGAAAATTTGCCTTTATTATAATGTAAATTGTGATTATTTTTTTGTTCTATATGTGGTTTTCTATAGTTTTTGATTTTTTTCAGCTTAAGATACAGACAGAAGTCTTGTGTAATATGGGTATAATTTTTAATTGTTTGCATTATTTTCAAAGTTCAAATTATCACTTTGAGATTACTATAAATACACTTAAAATTATCTATTTTAAATTAAGAAAATATTAGAGATATTTTCATGGGTTCGATGACCTTTCATTTTATAAGCAATGGGCATGGTACAGAGTGGCTGTCATGTAAGGGACTTGAAGATTCTTAGTTTAATTCTATTTTTGCAATAACCTTGACTTTTTTTCTGACTTCTTTGAGTTGTGCATGTAATGAGTCCAGTAAATGCTGAAAATGGGGAAGAGTAAAGTATTTATCTAAAATAAAAGCTATTGGGGAGGGGAAACAATGAATGTATCCATCTGTACATGACTTACATGCTGTGGATGCCTTGTAAACATTTTCCTATTTGTTTAAACTGTGTTTCAGCGAGGATGTAATTGCCCTTGTGTGTAGTTTTAAGCTAATGACAGTCATCAACTGGTTTTGTGTGAAATGGAACTCATGGTAGTTTTCTGTAACTTTATCCCCATGGTGAGTCTGTAAAAACCACACGCTCTTTCATACTGGTGCCGAAGGCCAGCTTTCCCAATCATTTTGATTCACTGTGTATCTGATTTTTTTTTTTTGGTCTAGAGAGGATTATTGCCACAGTATATTTTATTTATTCATTAGATTTTAGCCTTGTAAGTTAAAGTGTTCTAAATGATGATGTTAACAGGTATTTGTCCCTTTACTGGTTTTTTTGGGGTTGTTAAAAGATAGGGAATGAAGAATGCAAAATGGTTTATTGTTCAGACTGTCCGCTCTGGTCCAACCCTGTACTGATAGTACCTTCCCAGTATGATATTGTGATGTTTCATACAATACAGTGAACATAACCAACTTGTTATCTTCAATAAAGGATTGCTAAAACAGTGTGATATGCTTTATATTTTCTTGAGAAGGATTTGTCAAGAAGATGCAAGTTGTTCTATATAAAAAGATAACCAAATAGGATTTATGAGGTGTCTCTTAGTGATGGATTTGTTTGTTCTATAGCGAATGTGGCTTTTTGTCACAATAAGCCAGAAGTCTCAAAGTGGGCTTCTCTGGGGAGACAGAAGAGTACAAACAACACTTAGAGCTCCTGGGGCAAATCCATCCCAAGTTCAGCTGGAATGAGTCTTACTCCAGCTACGGGAGAGCATTCATTTAAAGTCTAAAAATTCAGATTAAACTTAACTTTTTAGTCAGCTCATTTCTTGAGGTTTCTTAAAGATCTGAGGTTAGACCTGTAAAGTTTTACTTCTGTACAGTGTTTTGGATAGAAACTTCTCTAATGTTAACGCTCTCACGTTAAACCATCTACTGATTTTTTTTAACTTATTAATGAAGTTGTTTAGCTGGGTGGGAAAGGAGAACGAAATCCTCCATGCTACTGATACTGCATGGTAATAACCTGTCTGAATACTTAGTGTTACTGTGGAATGGGTGTATTTATGAACAACCTCTAGATTTTTTTTGAGTCTATAAGCTCTATAAATCTGTAAGTTCTCTGAACGTTTTTGTTGGTTCTGCTTGCACAGCGTAACCGCTGCACACTTTCCTCATGAACTGCGATTTTAATACCTTCTTCCACTGGTAAGAGTTCTTGTAATCCGTAGGCTCCAGCCCTGTGAACAGTTATATGTGTAGTTTTTTTCCATCGTGTGGATAGTCTCCCTGAAATAAAAGGGTTTATGCTTTTATTGTATAGAAGTGAAGCGTGCACGTAGGTTTTTCAAAGAGAAGGACCATAGCTTGCACAACTACAACAAAATGTAAATCAAGACCTCTTTTTTTCTCTAAATTAGCACTACTTTCCATTCGTGCACCCACTAGGTTCCAAATTCTAATCATGTTTTTAGTTTAATCAAATCCTGTTCAGATTTCAGCAGCCTGGAAAAAAAAAAACCCTATGCTTTTTGACTTTGTAGCATGAGAAGTCTGAATGTTTGATAAAATTTGTTCATGTATTTGCCATAATTTGTCAATTTTAACATTTGTTTTAAAATTATGTTCTCTTAATTATATTGCCACCCAGTAACTAACATAAAGATACTTCTGCAGAATGCTGAGAGTAGGGGGTGTCTCTTTCACCTCGGGTCTTTCTGACATGTCAAATTCAGCTTGATTCTTTTCTTCTCTTCATTTTTGACTTCTGTAACAAAGTACAGGAGGCTGGTGAGGGGTCTGGAGAACAAGTCTTATGAGGAGCGGCTGAGGGAACTGGGACTGTTTAGTCTGGAGAAGAGGAGGCTGAGGGGAGACCTCATCGCTCTCTACAACTACCTGACAGGAGGTTGTAGCGAGGCGGATGTCGGTCTCTTCTCCCAAGTAACTAGAGATAGGATGAGAAGAAATGGCCTCAGGTTGTGCCAGGGGAGGTTTAGATTGGACGTGAGGAAAAATTTCTTTACTGAAAGAGTGGTGAAACATTGGAACAGGCTGCCCAGGGAAGTGGTGGAGTCCCCATCCCTGGAGGTATTTAAAAGACGAGTAGATGAGGCACTTAGGGACATGGTTTAGTGGACATGGTGGTGTTGGGTCGACGGTTGGACTCGATGATCTTGGAGGTCTTTTCCAACCTCAATGATTCTATGATTCTATGAAAGTAGTCTGCCAGTTCTCAAGTCTGCTCTCTGATAATCTTGAGCAAAATAAAGATTTGTTTTAACTGATCCTCATTAACATGTTAAATAGAATAGGGAATAAAGAAATGAATGCAAATATATGTGGTGTCATCCTGACCTTCTCAAAAGGCTTGTATGAGAGGTTAACTACAATGAAAGTCTCCTCTTAGACTGGATCTCGTCAGCACATTGTCATGTGCTTATTTGAGCCTGCATGCAAACTTTTGCAGGACTTGGCCAAAATATCCATACTTTTCATGCCCCTTATGTGAACTAATGCTGATGTCGCTCTTTAGGTGAAGGAGTAAAAAAAAAAAAAAACCAAACAAAAAAAAAACCCCAAACCGTACTCTCGAAATAGTTAAGAAGTCAATTCTTCTAAAAAAAAAAAACGTCCCCAAACCATACTCTCGAAATAGTTAAGAAGTCAATTCTTCTAACATATCACAGACTAGCTATTAGTGGCTAGGTAGCTTCTTGGTATCATGTATAAAGTGAAGTCAGCCACTTCATCTGTGAGCTTTCTTATACTGTCAGCCATAATCACTGGCTTAAATCTTAAAAAGTAAAATTAGGCCCAGAAAACCAGTCATTTTTCTTTGGCACTTTAGAGGTTCATAGTGGAAATCAAAATCAATAGGAACCCGAGATTAGTTACAGCATTGAACCAAGCTTTAGTGGGCAATTTTTACTTCTGGAAGATGAAGCAAAAAACAGTGCTGCCTAACATTAGGTGTCAGGTCTATTCTGACAAAAAAGCCACAGTGCCAAGCAGTTTTTAATCTGTCAACTAATTTGGGTTTTGCTGGGCTAAAAAGCAAGTTTTAGATTTAAGGATTGTCTACTGAAGGCATGTTGCTTTTAGCTCTTTATAGCTGTTTTTTTTGCTCTAAAATAAAAATTAAGTCGGAGGTAGCTCCGCTGGTGCAGGTAAGCAACTGCACGGGACGCTCCCAGAGATGAAGGCAGTTTGACAAAACCACAAGAAAGTATCCAAGCCACTGAACTTGCAGTATAATCCGGGTAAGTATGCGGTTTGTGCAGTTGAAACTCCACCTGGGGTCTCGTGTGTCTTTGTAACCCCTTTCGCTGTGTGCCAATCTGATCTTGTCCTGCTCGTGTTTATTTGGACTGTTGCTGTATAGATCGGACTTAGCTACGCTTTGTTTGTGCCATCTTGCATTCCTACCTAGCTGCTTCTCTGTTGATCGAAAGACAAGTAGCTTTTGCATTTTAGCATGCCTGTGCCTCCTTTTTGTGTTTAGCTCACTGCTCGAGGTCATCTCTCACTTCCATCATTCACTTTGCTACATGCTTATCAGTGCTCCTGTGCTTTCCTCTTCTTACATCCGAAAGGTCATGTTCCCCCCAAATACCTTATTTTTCCTTCTTCACAAACCTTCTTAAAGCTCTCCTTTGCTGCAATGCTTGGATTCAAAGGCCGGTTTGGATTATTGAGAACTTCCTTCTCCATTGATGAGTACTTCTAGCTTCTGTCCTTGGCTGTCCTTATTTGTCCATATGCAGCTTGACTAGGAATTTCCAACAGAAAAAGCTTTACTGCGCCGTTACTGTGATTAGCGACTGTGAATTAACATCAACTAATGATTGCCTCAGCACCCGCTTTTAAAACTTTCCGAAGACTGATAAGGATTCAAGTCATGGGAATGGGCTTCTGGGGGGGGAAATCATTGCCATTCTCCGTCAGTTTGGTAATCTTTCTGTGAAAGCAGTTGCCCCTGCTAATAAAGGAAGAAAAACACTGTGTAGTAGGAAGATGCGTTGTGAAGACTTGAGGCAACTAACTGAAACAGTGCTCTTGGAAATAATTTTCTTACGTGTTGTGTCAAGTCTGTTTTGGAAATGACTGTTACCCTGGTTTTCCGCTTTCTCAGACTTTTGGGATTTAAGGCGAATTGCGGGGAAGCTGAGGCTATGTTGTAATGGTGTTCGGTGGTGTAAGGACCCTGCCTTTGACCTTTAAAAAGTTGGAAATGATCCAATTCCTGAGTCCCCTCATGACAATCTTGGAAGTTCATCTGGTCTGAGAATATAGAAGTAGTGATTTTTCTGGCCTTTTTCAGGCGGCTTCTGGATTCTGTTGGGTAGTTACGGGATGTTTTCAAACAAGTATTTTTCAGAGAACTTCTATGCAAAGTTATGTCAGAAAATGACCAAATGGGATCTGCTTTTATCACTTTGAAAGAGCTGCAAAGCTTAAGTGAAAGACATGGGACAAATTCATGGAATGAAAATTCTATGTCTTGTGAGAGAAAACACTACTTTCAGGAATTAGTGTCCAGAACTTAGAAAGGGTACCCAAAAATGTTTGGGTATGTTATATTCCTTGCAAGAGTATGAATTTCTCCTTGAAAAATCTGAATTGTCTTTAAAAAATGTGCTAAAAGAGAAACTGTGGTGTGAAAACACACCTCTAACACCTCTCTATGCTGATGTATTTTAACCACTTTTTTTTGGGGGGTGAACATGTAGCTCAGTAAATATCCTACATTTAGAAGTTACTTGGAAACTTTGAAGTAAATGCATACAAGTTAAAGTCTGATTGCATTAATGAAAATACATTTCCCGTTATTTTTGTAAGGAAACTTCTTAATACCATCCCCATCAAATTCATTCTGAATATTGGTTTTGTTTTGGCAGGTTACTGGTATGCAAAAAGGTGGACGTCTGCTTAATCTTGGGCAAATAATCTACAGTATTTAATTTGTTCTTCTTAAGAGAAACTGGAGAATGTGCTCTGAGATTTTTTTTTTTATCCTTTATCCAGTGGTCCTCTTCAGTTCATAAACACATCTAAGTTTAACGGTGCAGTAAGGATTTTGGCCTGGGTATGTAAAGCAGGTGTGTTTTTCTAGTGCGTTTAAAATAATGTTTCAGTTTTGGGAGCAGAGAATGTGTGAAATCAAAGCAAAATATGTTTTCCAACTCTCCTAAATCTGCATTTAATTTGGTAGGATATAGTTGTAGGAAATACGATGCTAATGCAAACAACGTGTGAGGTGATTAGAAGTGTGGTGCTTTACAACAACTTCTCAGTCTCTACTTTTAGTCATGGACACCTTTTTTCATTGTACTGGGTGACAAATTATAAAATGGTGAAATATATTTTACATTCATTTCTTCATTCCTACTCATCCTCGCCTTAAAAACATTTAGCAAGTTCCATACTGTTGCTTCAGAGGTTACAATTACTGCATTTAACTTCCCACTCAAGTTATTGGAGGGGAAAAAATGCAGAGATCCCA